CTGTTTTTTTTTGTGATTTATCAATGTATTGTTTTTTCCCGCGTTTTTGGCTTTTTTTTTTCGAATTTTCCGTGTTTTTGGCGACTTTTTTGTTGTTTTTCTTCTCCCTTTTTTTCACTTTCTGGACTATTGTGTGGCCTTTTTTGGCGTTTTTTTGACATTTTTGGGTTTTTGTGACATTTTTTGTCCCCGTTTTTTTTGTCAACTTTTAAAATACATTTTTTTTTTGTTGCACATTTTGTGACCTTTTGATTTATTTTGGTCCTTTTTATTTCCTTTTTGTCTTTTTTGTGCTCTTTTTTTCGCCTTTTGTTTTGTCGTGGTTATTGTGGATTTTTTTTAGATCACAATTTTTTTGGTACCTGTTCTGTTGTTTTGTTTATCGCATATTTTTGTGCACATTTTTTTGCAGAAGTTCTGTCGAAATCAGTTTCAATCAGTCCTTACGTAATATTTTTAAGTACCATTTTTTTTGGCGCCTTTTTTGTTGTCTTCTGGTTTTTTTGTGATTTATCGATGTATTGTTTTTTCCCGCGTTTTTTGCATTATTTTCTTCGAGTTTTCTGTGTATTTGGCGACTTTTTTGTTGTTTTTCGTCTCCCTTTTTTTTCTCCCACTTTCTGCACTATTCTGTTTTAATGTGGCCTTTTTTTTGGCATTTTTGGGTTTTTGTGACCTTATTTTTTATCCCTATTTTTTTGCTACATTTTTTTTTGTCAACTTTTAAAATACATTTTTTTTAGTTGCACATTTTGTGACCTTTTGATTTATTTTGGCCCTTTTTATTTTCTTTTTGTTTTTTTTTGGGACCTTTTTTCGCCTTTTGTTTTGTCGTGGTTATTGTGGTTTTTTTTTAGATCACAATTTTTTTTGGCACCAGTTCTGTTGTTTTGTTTATCGCATATTTTTGTGCGCATTTTTTTGAGAAGTTCTGTCGAAATCACTTTCGATCAGTCCCTATGTCATGTTTTTAAGTACCGTTTTTTTGTTACATTTTTTGGCGCCTTTTTTGTTGACTTCTGTTTTTATTTATTTTTTTTTTTTTTGTAATTTATTAATGATTTTTTTTCCCGCGTTTTTTGGCATTTTTTCTTCGAATTTTTCGTGTTTTTGGCCACTTTTTTGTTGTTTTTCGTCTCCCTTTTTTTCACTTTCTGGACTATTCTGTGGCCTCTTTTGGCATTTTTGCTTCGCATTTTTGGGTTTTTGTGACCTTATATTTTGTCTCCCTTTTTTTGCCACCTTTTTCTTGTCGACTTTTTAAATACATTTTTTTTGTGGCACATTTTTTGACCTTTTGATTTATTTTGGTCCTTTTTATTTCCTTTTTGTCTTTTTTGTGCCTTTTTTTCGCCTTTTGTTTTGTCGTGGTTACTGTGGCTTTTTTTTAGATCATAATTTTTTTGGCGCCTGTTGTGTGCATTTTTTTGAGAAGTTCTGTCGAAATCACTTTCGATCAGTTCTTATGTAATGTTTTTAAGTACGATTTTTTTGGCGCCTTTTTTGTTGACTTCGGTTTTTCTTTGTGATTTATCAATGTATTTTTTTCCGCGTTTTTTGGCATTTTTTCTTCGAATTTTCTGTGTTTTTGGCCACTTTTTACTTCCCGAGCGTAAGCAAAGTATTGTAATCGAGTCCGTCGGCCGACTCTCTAGTTTTACGTTTTCTCGATCTTTCAAGACCCCTAGAAGACGAAGAAATAGGTCTCCCATTTCCGTCTGTCTGTCCGTCTGTCCGTCTGTCCGTCTGTCCGTCCGTCTGTCCGTCTGTCCGTCTGTCCGTCTGTCCGTCCGTCTGTCCGTCCGTCTGTCCGTCTGTTGTCCCGGATTTTTATTAGACAGATAATCTCCGAAAGTACTCGACCGATTGTTGTGAAATTTTGTACTTATATTAAGAATATCATGTAGATGGTAAAACGCTAACCAAAATTTGTCTAATCATCCCCACCACTAATGCGATGACGTCACTTCAAAATTGTACATAGTAAATGGGTATTCAATTGTATAAAATAACATAGTCCTACACATGTAGTTTACAACTCTGAATCGACTTTTCACCCGAAACGTCCAGATTTTTGGAAAAAAAATCAAAATTATAAAACAACATTTTGAAATTTAATTTTTAATCTGCTAACCAGAATGCTTTGAAATGTTGCAGATGTTTTAAGGCTATAAAGAGCATCATAAATCTTTAGTCAAAAAATATTTGCTTATCCCCTCCAAAAACTTGATGACGTCAGCTCAAAAGTTTGTGGAATAAATCATATCTAAAATGTACAAAATATGATGAGTCTGTACTTGTGATCTATCACTCCATTCATATTTTTTGGATTTGCATATACAGGGTGACTCAAAAAAATTAATGAAGGCGTGAATTTATTTTATCGATTTAATCAGGAATTACAAAACCGAATGCTTTGAAATCTTGGGAATATTTTAAAGTTATTATAAGCATGGTAAACTTTTGATCAAAATGTATTTGTTCATCCCTCCTAAAAAAATTGATGACGTCACCCTTAAATTTTGCTGAATAAATCCTATCTAAAATGCAAAAAATATGATGAGTTTGTACTTGTGATTTATCATTCCATTCATGTTTTTTAGATTTTCTTAAGAGGTGGTTCAAAAAAATTAATGAAGTCAATTTATTTTATTGATTAAATTAAAGGCAACACTTATTATTAGTATTACACCCCAACCAACCCAATTTGGTAGACACAAAATTTGTTAAAGGAAAAACTCGGTTGAAACATAAGGGTAGCACGCTTATTTACATCGACTTTAACATTACAGACCTGCATTTGTTTTATTCGTTCACTTGGTTCCGCGAATGTGAAATAGACATGTTTATAATCAACCAATTGTGAATTTCACCGTCAAGAATTAAAATAAAACCCAATGTTTTATATAATAAGCGGAAGTCGAAGCAATAAAACCGATGGTCGTTTTGTTTACAGTTTCTCTGTTTGACTCTCACGTATGCTGTTACGCCTGTCATCTTAAATTAAGAATGTTTATACATACACGATTTTCAGTTGCCTCTGATACGTATACGTGAGTAAATTGTTTTGTTATTTTATTGATTATTACAAATCAATATTCAAAACGACCCAATTCATTTTCCCGAAAATTTGAGAATATAATAATTTTATTCTTAGTATTACACTACATCTATACCAACTGATATAGGTGTCCAAAAATGTAATGAGAAAAAAAACACAATAGGCATGCAGTCGTCAAGTTTCCGACAGCGAGGAAAGTACTGTCCAAACTCTTTAGACCAATTTTTTGTTGTTTTTCGTCTCCCTTTTTTTTCACTTCCTGGACTATTCTGTGGCCTTTTTTGTCATTTTTGCTTCGCATTTTTGGGTTTTTGTAACCTTATATTTTGTCCCCGTTTTTTTGCTACCTTTTTCTTGTCGACTTTTTAAAAATTTTTTTTTTTTTGCACATTTTGTGACCTTTTGATTTATTTTGGCCCTTTTTATTTTCTTTTTATTTTTTTTTGGCCCTTTTTTCCGCCTTTTGTTGTGGGTATTGTGGCTTTTTTTTAATCACAATTTTTTTGACACCTGTTCTGTTATTTTGTTTATGGCATATTTTTATCTTTTTTTTTTGTGTGTTTTTTATCGCTCTTTTTGTTGGCATCTTTTTTTTGAGTTTTTTTTTTCGTTAATCAGTAGATTCATTTTTTGTTGTCTTTCTGTCGGTTTTTTTTTTTATCATATTTTGGGTACCTTTTTTTATCATCATCTTTTGACGCCCTTTTTTATCGCTTTTTATTTCCCGAGCGTAAGTTACGAAAGTATTGCAATCGCGTCCATCGGGTAACACGCTACTTTTATGTTTTCTCGACATTTCGTGACCCCTAGAATACGAAAACACAGGTCTACCGTCTATCTGCGTCTGTGTCGATTTTTATTACACAGATAATCTTCGAAACTACCAGACCGATTGTTCTCAAATTTTGTATATATATTAGAAATATCGTCTACAGTATGTCCCCGGATTGAGTTGACAAGAGAAAAAAAAACTATTTTCTATTTTACAAAAAAAAAGACAAAGGAATAATATTTTTTGCTTAATTCAAAATAAATAAATCTACAATTAAAACTTTAATATTATCAGGTTGACTTCTTAAAATCGAAAAAAACCAAAAGTAACGAATGACTTTTTTTGTTAATTTTACAAAAAAATTGTTCATTAATTCAAACCAATTTTACTGTTCGATTAACCCACCACCCATCAGCACATAGTTCAATAATTACATTAAATATTTATTAATTAAAATGTTACCATTTACTGGACCACCTGTTTTAATTTGCTCCTTTTTTGGCATTTCTACTTCGCATTTGTTCGTTGTTTTTTTTTTTTGGCTTTTTTGCACTTTTTTCGTTCATATTTTCCTTCTTTCTGCTCTTGTTACGCCTTTTTGGTCGTGGTTATTATTAAGTTTTTTTTTTAAATCGTATTTTTAGTCGTCTTTTTTGGCACTCAACCTGTTTTGTTTATCGTATATTTTTGGAAAATTTTGTTGAAATCACTTTCGACCAGTTCTTGTGTAGTGTTTTTAAGTGTCATTTTTGCGATTGTTTGCCTTTTTTCCTTTTTTTCTTGCCTTTGTGTTACCCTTTTATCGTTTTTCTTCTCTGTGCTAAAAATTAACAATAATAATAATAATAATAATAGTTACTACATATAAACATGTAAGTTTTTTGCATAAGTCACAATGTCAAATACTGTACATGACGTCATCACAGGATTTTGCTATCAAAATCTCACTTGACATATCAGCATAACTTCTTGTTTACCTGTAGTTTAATAATTTACACTTAGCTTTATTTTGACTTTTAAAAGATATAAAAACTATATAAAATTCGCAAGAAAAGTTATGAATTTGTCTGATTGTACCTCAGGGGCAAGTAAAGTTTTTTCTAAGTAACTTTAAAACAATCTCTGTGTATATATATAAAAAATCAGTCTGACCAACTGTCGTACCAGGTCCCCGCCCGGCCGGCCTCCCTGCAAAAGCGGCCCAGCATGGACCTCGACCCGACCCTGCACCGAACGCAGTGTTCCGTCTACAGCGTGGCCAACAAGCAGCAGCCGAGCTACGTGAACGTCCAGAACCGCAACGAGAAGTTCCAGCCGGGCCACGACAATCAGATAGCGGAGAAGGAGAAGTTCCTCCACCACCAGCCGATCAAGTTTGGCGACATCAACTCCAACAGCCGGTCCGGCCTGCCGCCGAAGGCGGTCAAGGCGGAGAAGTCCGACGCGAGCAAGTCCAACGAGGACCTGGGGGACCTCGGGGAGAAGCTGAACGGCAACCAGAAAACTAGTCATGTGCGGACGAAGTCGGACGGGAACTTGACGGAGTTGAGTGACAGTTTGATGCAGACGCCGCCGTCGCCGCGCAGCCTCAACAAGCCAACGCAGCCGCCGCCGCCGCCCCCGGTCAACGTGATCCGGAAGGAGCCGGACAGCACCGACTTGTAGCGAAGGCGCGGTTTAGTTGAGCAAAAGGTGATCTTTCGAGTTACTCCCGCTAGTAAATATAAATGAACAAATAGTTGCTATCCGACTGAAGTTAAAATTTTAAATTTTAATGTTAATGTTGAAGTTTGAAACGGATTTTATTTATTCCGAGGAGTCTTACTGGTTGATAATAAGCACACAAGATGCAATTTATATATTTTTTATGTTTGCTTTAACAAAACTGACTTGCAGTATAATTTCTAGATGTTAGGAATTTTGATATCTTTCATTTTATCAAAAAGGAACTGTACAAGGCGCAGTCAAATAAAACTTCAATTTATTTAAATGAATGTGTGACTTTGTACTACCCTAACTTCTCCTTTCCATAGTTCCTTGACAATGAAATTATGAAGTTTTGTAATATTTGTGTCGATTATTTACTGTTTTTATTGTCACATAACTAATATTACAGGAACATAATAAAATTGTTGGTACCTTATTTAGGGAAATATACATACACTCACGGATGACACCAAATTGTGGGCAACTTTTTTGTAATTCTATTTTGATATTATCTTTAATCATAAGTTTGTCAAAGTTTTAGTGTTGTTTATTTACTTAAGACACTGTTTAACAATTTTTTAAACTCTTAGTCATTGTTTAAATATTGTTGTTTTGTGTGATTCATAAGATTTTATGACAACAATGTTAATGTTTAAAGCTTTAAATCAAGTTTCTATGCATGTCATTTCTTAAATTTCTTGAATCTGACCGAGATTTTCCGCGATTTACCCATCAAATTAGGTTTGCTTCAATCTTAATTATATTTAGGTTATATCTTTCGTGGTGTTTATTGGACGTTGCTTCATGGTCCTGTATACTTATTTATATTTAATTAACGAAATTAAGGATAAGGAAAGATTTGATGTACCACCAGGGCTGCCAACTAGAAGTAGATTATTTTTATTATTTTTTTTTGTATTGAATATGTAAACGATTTAACATAGTATTTTATTTAATGTAATTGTTTGCTGTTTATAGGGAATTGAAAATTCAAGTGAAGAAGGAAATATTTTTTTAAATTCAAAATGGCGTGTTTGCAGATATGTGTCGTTAGATAAAGGTAAGTGTGAGGAATGCCCTGGTTCGTAAGGAAGTCGTCATTAAAAAAACTGGATGATAATTACTCAATGGTGTGGCGGTAACTTTAAATATGAACAGTCGAACAAAAAACAACGCAGCGTGAGGACGCGTAACGATAGCGGCACGAAGGGCGTCTCCTTGTTAAGGTCTATTTGCCCTAACCACAGCCACATCACGCGTCTTACGTTTTAAATATTCGCATTCCTGAGGTTTACTTCTTTCCTCGCAAAGGACGCAACCAACTAGACACCTTGATTCACTTGAACTGAACATCTGGTATTGCAGATAAACATGCACATGAAACTGAAAGTCCGTAATAATATTAATTTAACTGATGATAATCGTATCGACGTCACAGGTTCGCCCTAACAAGCGTAACGTTATTCTAACTTAAAATGTTGTGAAGTTTCGGCGATGTCAACACGTGACATAAATTTTGGTTTTTAACATTCATGATATTGTTTATGTAGACCACGTGTTAGAAAATGCACTTATTCAGGCTTCACTTTTTCGTTTATTAAGTTATAACTAAACTTTCTTAACTGCTTATTGGAGATTGCTAATAATTCGTTCGTAGCATTTAAATTTATCTAAACTTTGGTCCATTTTGAGAAAAAAGACTTTGAGAATATGCGGTTAAATTCATACCCTCGTGGACTTGAAAAACGGGAGGGCTTTAATACTCTCCTACACGTTTAATAGTTTGTTTCAGGTCTTTTGCTGGTTTAAAAATAATTTGAGGCTTGAATTGAACATTTATTCTCTAGAGCGTGCGTTTCCGAACTAGCTGATTTTGAGTTTGATCGTATTGAATGTTTTTTTTGTATGTGAGGTGTGGGTTTCGGATCACGAGATGATAATTTTTGTGGTTGAAATTCTTGATAAATAATTAATTTAAGGAAGTAATTTTAATACTTATTCAGTTATCCTTTGTGCAGCTCGACAAGGAATCGCGCACGTCGCTTCCGCCACGTGTTTCTGTGTTATTTACCTCAATTCCATTTAAATGTTAAATTTAAAAACCATATGAGGTGAAAAATTGCAAAGCTAACAAAATTACCTGATGTTAAACTCAAAAAGACTTTATCCACGATTTAAACAAAGAATTTACATTATGTTAAATTATGCCACACTTTATAAACGATTCAAGCAAAGAATTTACATTATGTTAAATGATGCCTTGATCCAAGTGACTGGTTACTTAAAAGCGTTAGCTTTGAGAGTTTATATCGTGGACTGTCCCCAGCTTATCCCAAACAAAACACATGATATATAACACAAAATGCATCCGGCGTTGCGAGAAAACCTTCTGGGTGAGTCCGTTTTTTCAATTTTTCGATATTTTAATTTTCTGATTTTTAAAATATCTGATTTTTCGATTTCAAAATTTTTCGATTAACCGACTTCTTGGTTTTTTGGACTTCCGATTTCTCGACTTCTCAATTTCTCGATTTTTGTTAGTTTTCAATTCTTCAATTTTTCGATTGTTTAATGTTTCGATTTTTTAATTTTTTGATTTTTTTTTTTGTTCGATTTTTCACTTTTCGATTTCTTAATTTTCCAATTTTTCGGTTTCTCAATTTCCCGATGGTTCAGTTTTGGGATTTATCAATTTTTCTTCGATTTTTCGATTCTTCAGTTTTTGGAATTTTTCGACTTTTAGATTTTTTACTTTTTTTGCTTTTTTCGATTTTTCAATTTTTAGATTCTTTATTTTTTCGATACATATTTCAAGTTAATATTTTTTTTTTATTTCTCGGTTTTTCAATTCGTCATTTCCATTTTTCAATTTTTCTAATTTTTAATTTTAGGCTTTTCAATTTTTTGACGTTCGAATCCTCTGTATTACATTTTTGGGTTTTTGTATGTTTCGATTTTAAATTTTTTTATTTTTCGATTTTTTAATTTAGCGAAATTTCGATTTTTCGTTTGTTCATTTTTCCGATTTTTTTATTTTTTTATTTTTAACTGTTGAATTTTGGGTTTTTTCAATTTCTCAATTTTTCGATTTCTCGACTATTTCGCGATTTTTAATTTTGCCACTTTTCAATTCTTCGATTTTTAAAAAATTAGGTTTTTCTTTTTTTATCGAGATTTCGAAGTTTCCATTTTTCGATTGTTCAATTTTTTTTATTTTCGAATTTTTGTATTTTTTTGACTTTTTTATTTCTCAATCTTTTGATGATTCGATTTTCGATATTTCAGTTCTTCGATATTTCTATTTTTTAATTTTTCGGATTTTTAAATTTTTTATTTCAGTTTTTCGATTTCTCGGCTTTGGCTTTTCGGACCTTTCAATTTTTCTTCGTTTTTTCAATTTTTCTGTATCTCAGTTTTTGGGATTTTTCGACTTTTAGATTTTTTACTTTTTTCTGCTTTTTTCGATTTTGTTGATTTTTCAATTTCTCTGTTTTTCAATTTTGAGATTCTTTATTTTTTCGATACATAATTCCAATTTTTTTTTTATTTCTCGGTTTTTCAGTTCGCCATTTCCATTTTTCAATTTTTCTAATTTTTAATTTTAGGCTTTTCAATTGTTTGACGTTCGAATCCTGTGTATTCCATTTTTGGGTTTTTGTATGTTTCGATTTTAAATGTTTTTATTTTTCGATTTCTCAATTTAGCGAAATTTCGATTTTTCGTTTGTTCATTTTCCCGATTTTTTCTTTTTTTTATCGAGATTTCGAAGTTTCCATTTTTCGATTGTTCAATTTTTTGATTTTCGAATTTTTGTATTTTTTGACTTTTTTATTTCTCAATCTTTTGATGATTCGATTCTCGATATTTCAGTTGTTCGATATTTCTATTTTTCAATTTTTCGGATTTTTAAATTTTTTATTTCAGTTTTTCGATTTCTCAGCTTTGGCTTTTCGGGCCTTTCAATTTTTCTTCGTTTTTTCAATTTTTCGGTATCTCAGTTTTTGGGATTTTTCGACTTTTAGATTTTTTACTTTTTTTTGCTTTTTTAGATTTTGTTGATTTTGCAATTTCTGTTTTTCAATTTTTAGATTCTTTATTTTTTCGATACATATTTCAAGTTTAAATTTTGTTTTTATTTCTCGGTTTTTCAGTTCGCCATTTCCATTTTTCAATTTTTCTAATTTTTAATTTTAGGCTTTTCAATTTTTTGACGTTCGAATCCTCTGTATTACATTTTTGGGTTTTTGTATGTTTCGATTTTAAATTTTTTTATTTTTCGATTTCTCAATTTAGCGAAATTTCGATTTTTCGTTTGTTCATTTTCCCGATTTTTTGTTTTTTTAATTTTTAACTGTTCGGTTTTGGGTTATTTCGATTTCTCAATTTGTCGACTTCTCGACTATTTCGCGATTTTTAATTTTGCCACTTTTCAATTTTTCGATTTTTAAAATTTTAGATTTTTCTTTTTTTATCGAGATTTCGAAGTTTCCATTTTTCGATTGTTCAATTTTTTGATTTTCGAATTTTTGTATTTTTTGACTTTTTTATTTCTCAATCTTTTGATGATTCGGTTCTCGATATTTCAGTCCTTCGATGTTTTTATTTTTTAATTTTTCGGATTTTTAAATTTTGTATTTCAGTTTTTCGATTTCTGGGCTTTAGCTTTTCGGGCCTTTCAATTTTCCACTTATTCAATTTTTCTTCGTTTTTTAAATTTTTCGGTATCTCAGTTTTTCAATCTTATAAAATCTCCTAGCAAGTATATATATTTGATATTTTAAAAAACTGGACGATTCTGAAAAAACGGCTGGAGTCAGCGAAGAAATGGGGCGGCAGTGACTTTTGCGGCCCGAAATTTACAAGAAAATGTATTTAGTGAAGTTTCGAAAATCGTCGAATATGGGCCGACATTTGCATAAGGGGGGTATAAATAGTGGAAAATTTCATTTGTGAAAAAGTTGTCGAAAAATTCTCAAAAAATTCAGAGATATTGATCCTGTTGTGCTCATTAAAAAAATGCAGCGTGTTTGTGGTAACGGAGTAATATTTTCTAAATATTCGGTGTGAAATTCGAGTTTTTTGAAATTTTTAAAAATTGGGATATTTCTATTTGCGATTCTAGAAAAACGCTGGGAATTATCGAAATGAGACCGGAAGTGCCTTTTGCGACCCGAAATATACTAGAAAATGTATTTAGTTAAATTTCGAAAATCGTCGAAAATTCCATAAGGGGTATACATAATTGAAAATTATATTTTTGAAAGCTAGGCAGTTTTTTGTTTTAGCTGAGAATTAAGGGGTCTTTATGGCATAAAAAACACACAGTTTAGTGCCAAAATTTTCAACTTTGAAGGGATCTTTGAGTCATCATAATTTAATTTAAAATAAGTTTAGTGTTTTACGGGAACATCTTCCATTATTGTTGTTAAACTGTATTAGAATCATTCAGTTAAAATCTTAACAGGAACTGTGAATTTACAAACAATAAAGAGAAAAATTACATGTTTTGGTGGAAGTTTTATACATTACAGATTAGAAAATCATTAATAACCTGATATTACAATAATTACACTCGTTGAGGAGGACTGTGGCGTCAAATGCGATTCATTTTTGTTTAAATAATTGCCCTTTTCTGAAACAGAATTATGAAAAAACCCTCCTATTGAAGGGTGGCCAATTTCAATAACGCTATACCAATCCATGTTTTATTTATGCCTACGTTATTGAATGATTTCTTTTTCGAGGCGTTGTTTTTTTCTTGGAACGAAATTTAAATTTCAAAGTAATGATAAAAAAAGGACATATTTTGGCTCCCAAATGGTTTTTAATTCGTGAGTTTTAAGTACTATTTTATTCAAAAACTACGTAATTTTGGGAAGTTAGGTTGGTTTTTGGCACTCTGATCAATTTAATATTAATTTTCTGCTTCAGGCATGTTTAAAAATTTGAGACACATTTTAAAAATGTTTTTAATGGTATTAATGAAAAATAGTATATACTTTTCGTATTTATCTTTATCTGTCTGTATATTATTTGTATAAAGCTGTGATAGAGTCTTCTTTCTGGAATGTGTTGTATGCAGTTTTCGTCTCTTCACCGGCCTGGATGATGGTCTTTGCTTTCGAGAAAACCTCTTCCCCGTATTTGGTACCAGGTAAATATTTGTTAAAAGATGTAAATCTGTAACGGGTTTGTTTGTAATTTTCTATTAGGAAAATATAAACATACTCACCTGCAGCAGTAATAAAAAATATTTTAGAGTGTAATATACCTAAACTGCAAGTTCTTCAATTGTGAAAATGCTAAATCGGACTTTATGTGTAAATAATATTTAGTTAAAATTGAAAAAGTAATTTTATTTTTGGCAGAAAATATAGTTAGTGTTGGTATTGATTTTCCTATTTTTTTTTTAGAAACTAAATCATTTTTTGATTTTATAACAACAAAAAAGCAAAGACGAAAGCGTCAACATAGAAAATTAATTGTTTTGTTAAAATCAATCATTGTAAAATATAATTATAAAATTTTGATAATCATGTACCTCCTCACTTTCGCAGTTTATTGTACAGTCCCGTAAGAGCATCAGTTTCATTTTTGAATACATCACGTACAAGTCGTAACACGTCATGTTTGAAAAACTTATTTGTTGGAGTGTCTTTAGCCCCCTCCTTTACCAAGTATTCGACAATTATTTTATGACCATTTTGCGCAGCAATGCAAAGAGGTGTATAGCCATTTTTTCCAGGCTTGTTGATTTCGGCACCGGATTTCACTAAATACTGAACATTATTTTCGTGGCCATTTTGTGACGCCACATAAAGCGGAGTGAAACCATCACTATCGACGCAATTAATTTCGGCCTCTGATATCACTAAGAACTTTACAGTTTTTTCGTGGCCGTTGCAACAAGCGGTGTGAAGCGGCGTAAAACCGTTAAAACCACCCCGATTTATATCGGCCCCCGATTTCACTAAAAACTCGGCAGTTTTCTCGTGGCCGTTTTGACAGGCTGCGTAAAGCGGTGTGCGGCCGTCGTTGGTACGAAGATCGATTTCGCCACCGGATTTCACTAAACGTTTCACAGTTTCTTCGTGGCCGTTATGTGAAGCTACGTACAGCGGTGTGAAACCATCAACGTCAGCGCGATTTACATCAGCCCCTGATTTCACCAAGAATTCGACGATTTTTTCGTGGCCGTTGAAAGCAGCCGTGCGAAGCGCGGTGAACCCGTTTTTGTCGCTGCGGTTGATTTCGGCCCCCGATTTCACTAAAAACTCGACAGTGTTTTTGTGGCCGTTTTGGGCGGCTGTGTAAAGTGGGGTCCGACCGTCGTTTGTACCGAGATTGACTTGGGCACCGAATTTCACTAAACATTTGACGGTTTCTTTGTGGCCGTTGAGTGAAGCTACGTAAAGGGGTGTGAAGCCGTTTTTATCCGCGCGATTAATTTTGGCCCCCGATTTCACTAAAATTTCGACAGTTTTTTCGTGGCCGTTGAACGAAGCGACGCGAAGCGGGGTAAAACTGTAGTTGCTAGCACGATCGATTTCGACTCCTGATTTCACTAAGAATTCAACGGCTTTTTGGTGGCCGTTTTGCGCAGCTACGTAGAGAGGCGTGAAGCCGTCTTTATCGACATGGTTTATTTTGGCGCCGGATTTCACTAAACATTGGATTGTTTTTTTGTGGCCGTTGAAGGAAGCGACACGAAGCGGCGTTGAACTGTTGTTAGTAGCACGATCTATTTCGGCCCCTGATTTCACTAAGACTTGTACAACTTTTTCGTGGCCATTTTGCGAAGCCACATAAAGTGGTGTAAAGCCATCTTTATCAGTGTGATTTATTTTGGCGCCTGATTGTACTAAATATTCGACAATGTTTTCGTGGCCGTTGAACGCTGCGGTTCGAAGCGGCGTAAAGCCACTAATATCAGCACGATTTATCTGCGCCCCCGACGTCACCAAATACTCGACAATTTTCTTGTGGCCGTTTTGAGAAGCTGTGTAAAGTGGTGTTCGGCCGTCATTCTCAGTACCGTTGATTTTGGCTCCGAATTTCACTAAGAACTCGACGATGTTTTGGTGGCCGTTTTGAGAAGATACGTAAAGGGCTGTAAAACCATCACTATCACCACGATTAATTTCGGCGCCGGATTTTACCAAGTATTCAGTAATTTTTTCATGTCCTGCTTTACAAGCTAGAATGAGAGGAGTTTTGTGATTAGTTTTCGTAACGAAATTAATTTCGCCGCGAGAATTGTGTAATTTTTGAGAATCGGACAGTTCTATGACATCCTCGTATGCAAGTAAAGCGGAGTAGTATAAAATGTTTATTCGGTCGTTGTAAGTGTGTGATTCATACGATTTTGAGTTTTTATCTAGTTTTAATAGTAATTTTAGTTCGGCCGCCAAACTTTCGCTTTTCTTAGCGTACAACAACGGCGTTATCCCGAATAGTGAATCATATTCGGAGTCACTGTTTTTATTTTGTAAATACACTACGGCGTCAAGAAATTTTTCACTTTCTGGCTTACCATTAAAACCGGTTACCTCGTCAATCACATATTTGTTATTTTCGCGGCTTATTTTTGCTCGTGGGTGCCTTTGTCCCCATGAACAAATCAAATGTAAAGCACTTCTTCCTCCGTTATCCTTGCGTGTTAATATTTCGTCATCGTATGTTTTAAGTAAGTCAAAATTTTTGTATAACACTGCGATATGAACAGGTGATTTCTCTGCTAACAACATGTCGAAGAAAAATCGCACGTTATTGTACTTTTGATCAAAAAATATATCCAAAGGTATGTCTTTAAAATTTTTCGAAAAATAACTGGCAACTAAATATTCCGCAAAGGATCCGTGAAGAAAATGTGGTACGTCAGTTCGTAACTCATTTATGATACCAACTGATGCGTAATTATTTTTAGAAAATATTTGCACCGTTTTTTGGTAGTTGATGTTCAAACGCTGTAATATAAACTCGGGATATATTAGTTTTAACGCAAGAATTTCGTAATGTTTTAGCATATTTAGTTTTTCTTCGTGAATTTTGTTTGCCAGGTGGGGATTTTGAAGATCGTAAGAAATTTTGTTGTCGTAGAAGATGTTAAATTTTTCTTCGATAAAACTGTGGTATAGATCGGTCGAGAGAAATTTATTGTTGAGAAGCTGCAAGTATTTGTCGTTATTTTGTCGAAATAGTTCCGTGAGCATAAATATTTGAAGCGGAATTCCTAATATGTCAACGTGTTCGATAATTACAAACGTAGATTTAATTTTCTGAACGGTTGTCTCAATTTCGACTACAGAATTGAAAAATTTAAGTCGCTGTTTTATGTAATCTTGTTGCTCATTTTCGCTAAATTGTGTTAAACGGAGTGAGAGGACGTTGAATTTTGTCTCCAGAAATGTTTGAAGATGTTGTCGACTGGTTACCCACTGAACGAAACCTTTTTTTGACAGTTGGAGTATAATATCAGACACAATATCTAAATGCTCGCTTAAAATTTCATCAAGTGCATCCCAAACGTACAAAACGCGGTTTTGTTTTAAACACATTTCGAAAAAAAATCTTTCCAATTGTGTGAAGGAGTCGTATTTTTTATTGATAATAAATTGTTCAAACAAGTTTATGCAGTTCGATGTTTCACTCGATTTAAAAGATTTAAAAAATGAATTCACGTCTTTAGGGTAAATCGTGACTGTCCAGTAATTAGGTGGAGATTTGTTTTTAAAATTTTTCATCAGCTCAGATTTACCCATTCCCGGTTCGCTAGTTATTAGATTGATGTTATTTTCTAACTGAGACCACAATACGTTTTCGTGCATAAAGCAGCTATTGGATAATTTGTAATTTTCTAAGTCACTCATGTCACCTTTGCTTTGAATCCATTCCAAATGTCCGTTGTTAGCAACTTTAAAATAATGAAAAGCGTGCGTTTTAGAATTATCCGTATATATTTTTTGTAATTTAGATTTGGAAAGTTTGCTGTCACATATGTACATTTTATTATCTGATTTGTCAAAATTTTGTGTTGTTTCAGATTGTTCTTTCAGAGGAACGTCCACATTAATTAAGTTGTAATTGTTAAGTTTGTCCCTTATTTTATCAAAATTATCCGCATATTGTAAAATGATAATAGTGTTTTCTTGAACGTTTTCTAAATAATTACTATTTATAATATTTTGCCATAAGTGACGTTCGATATAAGGTTCAGAGAGTATTTCCTGCTTTCCGTCTAGATAGCAGGGTCCATTTAGCATTCCCATCAAATGGGACGTTGTCACATTTTCCAGAAATTCTTCATTTTTCCCGAAAGCTGTCAAGTTAAGCTCTTCCTTTCCTTGGATAGAGACTGTAAAATTTTCTATAACTTTTTCGTAAACACTTTGTTTGGAGCGTAGGTTTGATAAATTTTGGAACACCGAATATTGCTTCATCCATTCTTCAGTCATTCCATCACCAAGCACGACGAACTTTTGATCCTCACAAAGCTGGATGACTTTTTCGAGATTTTCACTCTCATGTATTATTAACGGACATTTATTCATTAACCACAGCAACTGCGTCAGTAATTTTGAATTTACTTTGTCGACATCGTTGGCACCGATGTAGTCGACAGACAGTTGATAATTTCTTCTAGTTCGGTTTATTTCTTCGATATTAATTTTTTCGTTTAAAATATCACCCCAAAGTTGTTTAACATTATCACTCGAATTCTTATCGGTTAACGTGATAGTGAACGTAGATATAGCGTCTCGAAATATTTTCATTTTATCATTAACTTGACCAAACGACAAGGGTTCAATATAAGGCGTCAAAAGCTGCAGCCCGATGGCCCGTTGCATCCATGTCTTATTCAACTTTTCCTTTTTCCCTTCCCACATATTCCATTCCGATATTATCTTGTAGTATTCATCGAAAGCCTTTTCACTCGAAGAATACGTTTTTCGGAACTTTTCAATAGTTGAAAGTCTCAACACATTAAAACTTTCTTGATTAGTGTAAAGCAAAAATTTCATAAAAAATGTTTTGTATTCTTCAATTTCGGAAATATGCTCTGCAGTCCATGCGTCTTCTACGATTTCAAATTTGTAAACGTAATTGACATTCTTTGAAATTTCTAAGTTGCCCAGTGAACTACACACTTTAACAGGTCGCACGTAGAACTTTTGTCCTTCAAGCTGGAACTGTGCGTCATCGGTAACATCAAATGGACGGTTTGTAAAAATTATAAACTCTTGTACTTCATTTTTTAGCGTTTGGAACGATTCGAAATATTTGCTTAAGCTAAAATCGCCTTTTGCGGATTTCAGATGCTCCAAAGATAGTGTTTTTCGATCACTGTGTTTTAACTGCATTGCTTTCACCACGAGATTTTGATGCGACTCAATTTTGATGACTACGTCATCAAATGCACCGAAGTTGTTATCGTTTGACGATATGTGGAAGTTGCTTATGTTATCGTCGCTTACCATTTGTAGAACGATGTTGGCTATGGTCATGTTTTCGTATTCTTTACCCTTGTCGGTTGTGCCTCCTCGTTTTTTAAATATCTGGAAATGTATATATGCAACATGGTTAAAAAATTGGATTTCTGTAACCTAAAACTACGCAACATTATTGTCAAGTAACAATTTATTGTCATTAATAATTATGTTACTACTTTAGTTTGATAATTTAATTTGAATGGAACAGAGAAAAGAAGCAAGAAAATCACAAAAATTATCTTAAAAGTACCTCTGTAGCATCCATTTTCAGGTGATGAAAATCAAAAACGAAAACTTCCAATGAAACTGTCCACCAAACTGGTTGCAATGGAGAAATTTAGCTGATGTTTATTAAATGTTATTAAAAACTAACCACTTCTTGTGTGATAAGATAATAGCGTGTCACGATTTAAATATAAATTGGAATTTCCTGTCACGGGGATTAACATACATTTTATTGGTGCGTTTCTTTACGTTTTTTACAAAACCACAGGATATGATTCCATAGAGACTATCTAAGTGCTATTTTAAATTTAATGTTACGTATTACGCGTCCTAAAAAAATAAACTTTGGGCATTAATTTTTACATTTATCTTAAATAAAATAAAATACAAAGCGCTCTTTTTAGAGATTTTTCTTGAGACACTGCTCTGTATTCTTTTCCTTTAATTAATATTTACAGACGTTCGTTAAATGTTTTCTCTTTGTCTGATAGATGCTGTTATCGTATTATGTCACACATTCTAATCAAAATTTTAGATAATCTGATAATAATTAATAGATTATAAAATTTTGATGAAACTTTTACTTTTTCTCTACTTTCGAAAAGTTGATGACTTTATAATAAAAAACCCTATAAAGAATTTTGAAGTTTTTAAGGTGAACTGGCAGGAAGATACTGCTGGTTAACATAATCTCGAAAAAATTGGTCGAAAGTTGTTTCGACAGAACTTCCCTCGCTTCGGAAATGCAATGATAATTTTTTTTGAATTATCCTGTATATGCAAATTAAAAAAATATTAATGGAATGATAAATTACAAGTACAGACTCCTCATATTTTGTACATTTTAAGTAGGATTTATTCAGCAAAATTTTGGATTGATGTCTTCAATTTTTTAGGGGGGATGAGCAAATACATTTTGCTCAAAAATTTACCATGCTTATGATACCTTTAAAATCTCTCCAAGATTTCAAAGCATTCGGTTTTGTAGCTCCTGATTGATCCAATAAAATAAATTTACGCATTCATTAATTTTTTTGAGTCACCCTGTATATCCAATTCAAAAAATATGAATGGAATAATAAATTACAAGTACAGACTCATCATATTTTGTACATTTTAGATAGGATTTATTAGGCAAATGTTTCAGTTGACGTCACCGATTTTTTGGAGGGGATAAGCAAATATATTTTGACTAAAAATTTATTATGCCTTAAAACAGCTGCAAGATTTCAAAGCATTCGACTTTGTAGATTCCAAATTAAATGTTAAAATGTTGTTTATTAATTTGGATTTTTTTTCTAAAAATCTGGAGGTTTCGGGTATAATCTCAATTCGGAGTCATAAAGTACATGTGTAAGACTATGTTATTTGATACAATTTAGAACCCAATTACTATGTACAATTTTGAAGTGATGTCTAGAGAGCGGATTTCTAGGTTTAATGCTTTTTGTGAAAAATGTAAACACTTCAAAACTTTTTTATATCTGTAACTATGATACAATTTGGAGTCATTTGAAACATTTTTTTTTAATGCTTATTTGCTTTTTTTTCAATTTTATGCATATTAAAACTTATATGCTTATTTAATGCTTTTTTCGACGAATATAAGTTTTAATGCATATTTTGTTCAAATGCCGGCCTTGTCGGGATGACAAATACTTGTTAGTTAGCCATATCGTATCGTATGCATTTTACCTGGACTTGACCATTGAAGTACACTTATTCAAAACCCTTTCTGTGAATAGGTTCCGGTCGTTTGGGTAATAAAATTTTATTATAGGATTGGAAAAATACTCCATAGATTTTATGACTTTAAATCCTTACTTCCGTTGATAATGAATTAAAGCTTTTAACCAGATGTTCTTTTTCGGCATTTTGCGGCAAGACCGTTGAAGATGTTCTAGAAAAAAGTATTATTGTACCCAACTACCTACCTTAAAATTTTTCTAATGGAAACATTTAAGTAAATGAACCGTTTATTTCACAACCATCAGTCTATCGCATCTGTCGTAGTACAGTGTTATTCGTGGTTCTCCCTTGTTACATGTTGAGTTCTTTTTGGTAATATTACTAATATTTTAAAAGAATGCCGAAAGTAAAATCGACGCCGGATGAGTGCATAAGAGATTTTCCAGAATTAAAATTAGAAAACAACAAAATATTCTGTAGAGCTTGTGTGAAAACCGTAAGCCCACTAATTTTTTTTTATCTATTTTCCTTTGTTAATCCTGTATATGTACGTTGTTTTAGATTCAAAGTGATAAAAAATATAACGTGACGCAACATGTCAGAACGACTCTTCATGTAGAAAGGAAGAAAATGTTTGAAGTTTCTAAAATTAAACAGCGGACCATATATGAATCTGTTGCATCTACTTCCACAAAAGATGGGCAGTTTCAGTTTAATTTCGATATATGTATAATGATGATCCAGTCCAATATACCTTTAAAAAAAATGGAGAAAGGCCCTCTTCAAGAATTCCTTGAAAAACACTGCAATCGACATATTCCGGTTGAAAGTACTCTCCGAAAAAATTATGTAGGCCCAGTGTTTCAGCAAGTTTACAACGAAATTAAACATCGCATTGGAGATAATTATTATTTATGGTTCGCTGTCGATGAAACAACCGATAGTTGTGGAAGATATGTGGCAAGTTTAATTGTTGGAATCTTAAATGAAAATTTCCCTAGTCGAGGGTATGTAGTGAGTTTGAAAATGTTAGATAAAACAACGATTTTTTGGTTAAAATAAAACTTTTTTATTGAAAATGTTGTGCTTATTTAAGCGCTTATTCTTAATTTTTTTGTGCTTATAAATCCGCTCTCTAGTGATGTCATTACATTAGTGGTGGGAATGATTAGACAAATTTTGGTCAGCGTTTTACCATCTACATGATGTACCTAATATAAATACAAAATTTGACAACAATCGGCCCAGTACTTTCGGAGATTATCTGTCCAATATAAGTGACGGCAAACAGACGGACAGACAGACAGACGGAAACGGGAGACCTATTTCTTCGTCCTCTAGGGGTCATGATAGGTCGAGAAGATGCAAAAGTAGAGAGTCGGGCGACGGACTCGATTACAGTACTTCCTTTGCTTACGCTCGGGAAGTAAAATGACAACAAAGTAACACCCTTACCATCAGGTACCTAAATATAAATTGGACATGTTTAGTATATGTCGTAATTTAAGTAAATCATAGAACATAATTAAAGAAATAAAAGAAATAAGTTAGACGTATAATTGTTTTTTTGAACGTATTTAACAACGACTTATTAAAATTTGACCGTAGATGCCTTCGTGAACATGACGCCTTCGTATTTGATAACATCTTTATTCTCATCATAGAAGTTCTGTCCACAACCGCCTGTAAGGAAATTTCCATCCAGACAGTTTTTTTCCTGTTCAGCATATGTTCAGTTTTAGGACAAATTTCTCTTCTTGGAAATGCCAGTTAAGATACGTACAACTGAACTAAATAATTAAATATGTAAACATCTTAAGCATCATTGTCTTTGGCTGAATATTTAAAATTTAAGTGATGTTCTGACGTCGAAAAGACAAGCTTCTAGTTTTCTAAAGCAACTGTAGGTAAATGTTCAGTATAATTTATTTCTAACCTTACCTTTGTTACGATTACATCACTGCTTCGAAAATGGCTTTGTTTTATAATTTGTAGTAAGTGTGCTGAATTTTACATTTTTTCGTGGTGAAACGAAGGCAAATATTTATTTAACACTGTAAATCTGCAACAACTTCTATTGAATTATAAATTAATATGATATAAAAGCACTCACCAGTCAGCATTCAGGCAATGCAAATGGAAATTTAGAAGATCGTTTTATGGCGGAATGCAAGGGTATAGCGGGACAATTTCAAGTTAGATTTACCATTTCGCAAATCACCGTTGCCATGGAAGATGCGATGACAGCAGTCGCGATAACGAATCAAATCGCAAATCGCAACTGTCATCGCAAATCCAACTTGTAAATTACTCTCTAGGTCTATAAAGAAAGACACTTGAACTTAAAATGTTATGGAAACAAGGTACAAAAATGACTTATTAATTTTATTCTTAACACAAAATGCAGTTAGCACTAATAGAAGGATAGCTGATTTGTTTTGTTATAAATCGGTTATAAATGAAATTCTTGCAGTAGCTTTCTTGGATATTTCAGATATTTGTTCTCACAGTGAATTCCAACACAAATATTATCGATTATTATTCCCCGCATACTTGAAATTATAATTATCTTTTTAAATACCTAATAAAATACCTAGAGGAAAAATGTGGTAAATGCCGCTCAAGTTTACATTTTTCGTTTTGAAAGCGACAGAAATGTAGGTGCCAAGAGATGATTCTTTATTCGTTTGGTAATTCTAGGGATAGAAAACGGTCAAAATAAAAACTGAAACAAAAATTAACAAAATTAACTTGTCTACAAATCCAATAATAATAATAATACTTAGTCATATTCTCAGCTTGTTGCTAAGTGCGAATTCTAACTCATACAGGGTGTATCAGCTAAAATGGGACATCTCGAATAATTTTTTTATTTATGAACTTATGTTAATGAAGGAGTCTTGACCACCTGGTGCGCGGTAATACCATAACACAGAAAACACTCAATTTTTTTGTCGTTTGTTGTTGTTGAAAAAAATTGCGTTGTGCTTTCTTCATAAGACACGTACACATTTATTCTGTTTCTCTGTATAACACAAGTCCACATTTTACCATATTTCCCGTGAAGTCGCACTAGCGAACAAGCGACAACACTGAATTTACGGATGCTCGTGAACCATTAACCACGTTTGCTAAAAATATTCGAGGTGTTCCCTTTTAGGTGACTCACCTTCTATATGTAATATCTATTTCATGGAGAAAATTTAGCCCCTTCTTTTACTAGAAATTCGACAATTTTTTCGTGGCCCTTCTGAGAAGCTATATTAAGCGATGTCCGACCGTTATTCCCACAACTATTAATCTCAGCTCCGGATTTTACAAGGTATTTGACAGTTTCTTCGTGACCATGTTCAGAAGCTACATAAAGTGGTGTAAAGCCCTCGTTATCCGCACTATTTATTTCAGCCCCAGATTTGACTAAGTACTGAACAATTTGTTTGTGCCCCTGAACGCAGGCTAGAAAAAGGGGAGTACATTGATTAGCCTTAGTAACAAAATTAATTTCATCATGATAAATACGTAATTTTTCATAACCAAACAATTTAACCACGTTGTCGTATTCAAGTTATGCAGAATAATACAAAATTTTATTTTATCGTTAGAAGTATATGACTAAAAGAGAATAGAGTTTTTTTCAATTTCTTGTAGCAATTGTAGCTCTGCTGCCAAACTTTCACATTTCCTAGCATATAACAACAGTGTTAAACCAAGTAGTGAATCATGTTCTGAATTATTGTTTTTACTTTGTAAATAGATTACTGCATCAAGATATTCTTTACTTTCCGGTTAACCATTAAAGCTGGTAGTCTGTTCAACAGTGTATACGTTACTTTCGTGACTTATTTCTACACGAGGATGCCTTTGACCCCATGAGCATATCAGGTGTAACGCACTTCTTCCACCTTTGTCTTTGCATGCTAATATTTTATCACCGTAACTTTTAAGTAAGTCGAAATTTTTGTATAACACAGCTATATGAGCAGGCGATGTCTCTCCTGACAACATATCAAAGAAAAACCGTACGTTATTATACTTTTGATCAAAAAATATGTCGACAGGTATGTCTCTAGTATTTTTGGATAAGTAAGTAGCCGCCAAATATTCCGCAAAGGATCCGTGAAGAAAATGTGGAACGTTATTTTTTAATTCAGTTATGATACCAATGGATTCATAATTGTTATTTGAAAATTTTTGCACCGATTTTTGGTAATTAATATTTAATTGTTCTAATACAAAGTCGGGATATACTAATTTTAAAGCAAATATTTCATAGTGTTTTAACATCTTTTGTTTCTCCTGATGAATCTTATTTGCCAGATGGGGATTTTGAAGATCGGAAGCAATTTTATGTTCGTAGAAAATGTTAAACTTTTCATCAATAAAACTATGATATAGATCAGTCAAGAGAAATCTATTGTCCAGAAGCTGCAAGTATTTATCGTTATTTTGGTGAAATAGTTCTGTGAGTATAAAAATCTGAAGCGGAATTCCTAATAAGTCAACATGTTCGATAATTACAAATGTAGATTTAATTTTCTGAATAGTTGTCTCAATTTCAACTGCAGAACTGAAAGCTTTTAGTCGTTCTTTTATGTAATCTTCTTGCTGTGTTTCGCTAAACTGTGTTAAGCTGCATGAGAAAACGTTGAATTTTTTTTCTAGAAATCTTTGAAGATGTTGTCTACTGGTTATCCACTGAACAAAACCCTTTTTTGATAACTGAGTTATTATATCCAACACAACATTTAAATACTCGCTTGAAAATTTCATCTGTTGCATCCCAAATATACAAAACACGGTTTTCTTTAAGACATATTTCGAAAAAACATTTCTCCAACTTTTTCAAGGAACTGTATTTTTTGTTGATAAATTTCTCAAACAAATTTAGGTAGTTTAATGTTTTACTTGACGAGAAAGATTTTAGAAACGAATTAACATCTTTTGAAGTTATCATGACTGTCCAATGCTCAGGTGGAGATTTATTTTTAAAACTTTTCATGAACTCTGATTTACCCATCCCCGTTTTTTAAATATCTGGAAATATACATATGCAACATGGTTAATAAAAAATAATAAATTAAAATTAATTTCAGGTTGTGTGTATAAGAGAATTTAAATCGTATGGAATAGAGAAAAGGAGCAAGAAATCACAAAATACTAATCTTAAAGTATGAATAAAATAGTAAAACAGTCACCTCTGTACGATCCATTTTTCAGGTAAGAAACTCAAAAAAGAACACTTCCAACGAAACTGTCCACTAAACTCGTTGCAGTAGAGAAATTTAGATGATGTTTATTAAATGCTGTTAAAAAAACTAACCACTTCTTGTGATGGATGAGTGTGTGTCACAATTTAAAAATAAATTGAAGTTTGCTTTTACCAGGATAAAATGAATTTTGTTGATGCTTTTCTTTACGTTTTTAACAAAACCACAGGATATGATTCCATGAAGATTATCCTAGTGCGATTTCAAATTTAGTATTACACATATTAAGCGTCTTTAAAAAAAAGAAACTCTTATCATCAACGTTTTACATTTATCTCAGAAAATATAAAACGGCCTTTTTAGAGATTTTTTGAGACTCTGATATTAATTTATGCATTATAAAATACTGATGCAACTTTTACTTCGTCGTTAGTTTTGAAAAGTTGATGACTTCATTACAAACAATTATTTAAAAATGTTTGATATTCTTAAGACGAACTGACAGGAAAATATTGGTAAACATAACCCCGAAAAATGGTAAAATAACATATTTACAATCAGAATGGACATGTTTAATGCTCCAGATATCTTAATTCACACATAGATAATAAGCACTCTTTGCAATATATTTAATATTGTAAGTGAAAGAAATACTAAGTATATTATAAGCGAGTGAGAATGTAGGATCACAAGCACGTTAACACAAGTGATAGGTACTGATCTCACGATTTCGCTCACGGGTGGTATATGACATTTTATGTTCTAGTAGCAGCTGTTACATAAAAGTAAGAATAAGATGAACCCAAATTGAAACCTTATTTGCCCTAAAAAATCGTATTGTCATTAAATATATTAGTAATACATATTGAAATTATGTCACTTAAATAATTGCATAAACTAACCCAAAACCAAGTGTTATAAGATAAAATAAATTAATATAAAGTAAATCATCGTACATATAAAGAAACAAAACCAATAAGTTAGACGTAATTGTTATTTATACGTGTTTAACAGTGGGTTATTTTTTAAAATTTGAACTTCGATGCCTGCCATTCCTCGCTTGCAGAGTATCTTTACGTTATTTTCGTGACTTCCTGTAGCTAGATGACAGCCAGTGCCTCGTGAAGTTACTTTGTTCATATTCCCACAGGATTCAGATATCGGCATCGTTTTCTAAAATCTGGACCACATTTGTGTCCGCACAGGTGTCGCTGTAATTTGAAAATAAATATAATGCATAAGAACGGTTCGGTCAAATGGATTGTTAATAAAAATAACTTTCCTGCTACAAACCAAACACTACATATATACAACGAGTACAAAATTGTACGAATAGGAAGTCAAACTTGTAAATAATTTATAGTTACGAAGCTAGAACTTATTTTTCGAAATTTTAGTGATCAAAAAGTAAGTACAAGATTTGCATGTTGTTTATGAACGGAATGCTTGCAAAAACCTCAGGCAGCAGTGGTAATCAAAAAATGTCTGTCTGCTCGCTTTTTGGAGAAAAGACATTATTTTCAGGAAAATTTCATACATATGTACCGTACGCAGTTTCTTCATCTGTAAATCTCCTTCAGTATTATAAAGAGATACTCTAAACTCAGTTGACATGCACTTGGCAAAACTTAGTATGAGCCAAAGCATCGTCGTTTCGCGTTAAATACTTTTCGTTTTTAGTAGGTATGTAACTATATGATATTCAATCCAATTTTTTCTTAAAGACTACCCCGTTATTGTCATAATGAAATAAAAGTCTTACTAGGTATATGTCAATTGAGTTTAGTATACACCTGCTAATATCATTTCATTTTCAACGTCTTTGTTGTTATTACCTGCAGAGATCCTTTGTCCTTTGGTTGTAAAGAAGTACATATTCTTGTAAGTCTTGCTGCAAATCCAGAATCCACAACCGTCTGTGAGAACGTTCCATCCAGAGAGTTTTTTCCCTTGTTCACTATACGTTCAGTTTTAGGTCAAAAATCCGCTAAGATAATTACCTTGTGTTGAATTATCGTAGAAAAATACAGTACAAGTTTAATGTACTGCATTAAGTTAAGAATCATCGTCTTTGACTGAATATTGACGATTTAAGTGATTTTCTGAACGTAGAAAAAACAAACTTCATTTTTCCTAAAGTAATTGTAGGTAAATGTTGAGTATTGTTTTTTTTTATTCTTACCTTAACTGCGTTGAAAATGTCGTGTTCTAGAATTTGTAGTAAGTGTGTTATTATGAATTCTACATTTGTTCGTGGAGAAACGGAGGCAAATATTTTGCAGTGCTTGCCGGGGGTAGGCAGCTTAGCCAGGTTACGCACTATTGAAAGTCACCACTTAACTACTACATATCTTTATTATTCTTCTCTCTTACACCGCTTGGTTGCCTAGACACTTACTGCTTACTTACTAACTTCTTACTCTCTTCTTAATACATTTCTTATTAGTCTTATTACATACATTATTGCTTACATCTACATTAATCCCTACTCTAATCATTCACTCTCTCTTTCACACATTACTTATTAATTACTCCACTACACCTTCCGGGATTTCTTAAAAAAAAATGTTTGTAAATACACACTTTTTTTTTTGTTTATATGTTCGTATTATATGTATGTAATTTTACTACTAGGTTAATAGTTACAAGATTCAGTTTCAACACATGTTATATGCATCAGCAAGAAACAATACACTCGTAAACAGTTATGTAGGTTAAGATATCTAATGTCAATGTCACAAAAGAATTACTTATTCTAATTATAATACCGCTTAGTTCTGTTTTTATGTACAACTAACTTCTTATTGTCCTTTAACACTTCAACATTGGGCGATAGGTCTTTTGTCACTTTAAAAGGTCCTTCAAAAATTACACAAAATTTATTACCTGTTTCTTTTTTGATTAAAATTAAATCGTGTTTCTCATATTTTGCTGACCTAACATTCTTATCATACACCTGTTTCCTTTTAATTTTATTTGTAATTAAATTATTCCTAGCATCTAAATGAGCTTGTTGTAACCTAAACTTCAATTCTAATGGATAACTATTAAAATTATACAAAGGATCTACGCATGTAGTTAAATGCGTTGGAAGACTACATATCTTACCAAATACTAATTCAAAAGGCGTGTATTGAGTTTCAGTATGAACAGTTGTATTATAACTGAAACACCAATAAGGTATCCAAGAACTCCAGTTTGTTGCCTGATTATTACACATGGTTCTTAAATATGCACCTAAAACTTTATGTGAATTTTCCAAAGCGCCTATACTCTCATGATTAGAGAGCGGAAAATATGCAGCAAAATTTTGAGAAATATGATCATATGATATGCACCAAATTTATGCAAATATGCAGTAACTTTCTTAATATATGCAGACATATGCAGTTGCATATGCTTCAAAAATGAAAAAAAAAGCTTAAAAGCGAACTAAATTTATTTATAAAATACAAAAACAGGTTTCCCGAGCTTCCGTTTTAATACAAAAAATACATAAATCACTTTGCATAGTGTTTAATTACATCTCACTAACAGATAAATCATGTTTTTAAAGATAATATTCTTATACAAAAAACTAAATATAAACAGAACAAATTAAAAAATAGTAGTAATCCACTATTTAATTACTATTTTGGTAACAATTTATTTTTAATATTTTTCGAAATATTCTAACAAAAAGTTTTTCCGGTGATTCTAAAGTAGGTAGGTATAATGTATTTGTAAATATGTAGAAAAACTGCGTACTACATCCACACATTTAAAAATACTTACCGGTTTAGGGCAGGCGCGACAAAACACAGTTCGTTCTTGAAGAATAAGTTCAGGAAAAGGTTTAATCCATAAATTAATTTGAGTTATCTTCGACATATTGATACACCTGTATCCCTTTAAATGCTTTCAATACAAACTCACGATGAAAAATAATAGTATAACGTCTCTTCGACCACCACTAAACGTACCATTAAAACACTTAACTAACAAACAAAAATATTGAGAATGAACGGTATTTCCAAAAGTAATTAGGGTGCGAATTTACCTGGAAGGATAGCTTAACACCCAGTGGTGTCTCCAAACTACCATAAAACCCAAACCTTTCCTAGTTATTTGAAGCTCAGAAGAATATTTGCAGTATGATTCATAAAATTTCGTCTTTCTAGATAAATGCCGATAGAATGACAATAATTTTTTTTTCAAATCAGCTCAAAAATTGATAAAAATGCAAAATATGCACCCGTTCCGTGAAATATGCAGCAGAAGGCAAATATATGCAAATATGCAATTTTTTTATAGCTGTATTCATTTTTAATTAACATGATTCGTCCACATTTTAAATATCAAGACTTATATGCAAAAAATAACGGATATGCAAATTTCATAAAATCCGCTCTCTACTCATAATGATATGCTGTTGAATGAATTTTATCAATTTTTAGCAAACTGCAAACTTCATTCATTGTACTTGAAATAAATTCAGTTCCTTGATCAGTGGCTATTATTTTAGGAACTCCATATCTTAAAATAAAATTTTCGACAAACGCCTTAGCGATAGTTATAGTTTCTTTGTTTTCTAAGGGATAAGCTTCTACATATTTTGTTAGTTCACATTGTAAGGTTAAAATATATGAAAAATTACTTACGTCTCTTTAGATTGGACCTACAATATCTAGATATATTTTTTCAAATGCAGTGCTTGCTGTTGTCGTTATTACCATAGGTTCCTTTATACTGTTACCAGGGGCGGCTCATGACTTGAAAAATTGATGAGGCACAGCACAAAACGCTCTAAAATATAAATAAATCAAGATTACTTAAATATTTTCTATTTAGTCAAATAAACAAATTTGTAAACTCATTTAACTGTCCACAAAGAACCAACGTGAAGGTGTAAGGAGGTCTTGCAAGGAAAGGATGAAAATGACAGGACAAAAGGAAAGGGAAGCGTGGTCAGAAAAAACTAATATAACTTCTAACAAAAAACAAAATTAAAATAAACTTTAAAGGAAACATATCGAAAAAGATCAAATACAACATAAAATAACTGATTTATAACAAAAAACAAAATGAAAAAAATATAAAATATAAATACGGATTTATTTTAAATTTTTTTTATGGATCAATTAACGATTTACTCAAATCAGGAACCGGCGGTTTTAATTCCTTAACTACATACAATTTATCATCATACGTGAAAGTAGAAAAAACAGAACTGCCATTGTCATTTAACGTTAGTAGAGAAAAATTCCGATTTACTCGTAATCTTAAATAACGATTACCGAAATCAAATTATGACAAGCACAAAGCACTAACGCGACCCACGCAAACGTAGGCACTTTTAAGACAAAATTCTGTTACCGAAATTTTGAATCAATTTATACACACACAGATTTGTGGCAAAACAATCAACGGCCTAATTTTGAATACTCCTGCGAATGCAGACTGCATTGCAATCGCACGTTCCCCGCGCGCAAATATTATAGTTGTCCATCTCTTTTGCAAGCACGGAAATGAGGCTAGCCTCAATTTTGTCTTTTTTCAACTCATACCGCTTATAAGTGTATTGCAGGTTGCTTGCCTATTAACGACATGATTTCTATATATGCTGTAGAGGCAAGCTTCGAGTCGGCCTCATTCGCGTCACAAAATACATGTTGTGCCGAGTGTTTAAGCGCGCTGTTTAATTAAGGGAGCAACGAGTACCTACCGAGATAAAAATAAGAATATAATTTTCTATATTTATTTTTAAAATTTTAGAAAAAAGACACAAATTATTGGCCGAAATGTGTCCGTATAAAATAATAAAAATCCTAATAAGGCGTAAAATTCATTGGTGAGGCACTGCCTCACCTGCCTCATAGGACAAGCCGCCCCTGACTGTTACTATATTTCTGTCTTTGGCAACTATCACAATGTTTAACAAAATTACTAATATCCTCTGTCATGCCTTTCCAAAAGTAATATTTTTTAATATTATTTGTCATGCGCTTTACACCCGCATGTCCGCTAGTTGGAAGTAAATGAAAGTCATTTAAAATAACTTTTTTCATATCATCGTCTGTAATTCTTTTAGGATTATTTACAACACATATTCTTGGAAAATCTTTACTATTATTTAATCCTACGGTTTTCTTATATTCATTAATCATACTAGCTAGCTTTTTGACTTGATGCATATTACTTTCATTTTTAATAACGATTAATTCTTACACATTTATTTCCTTGCATAGAATTTCTAAATCTTTCAACAATTCGTCTCGCGCTATCATTGATAAAGAATTTAGATTCATATACAAAGCTGACAAGAAAGGGTTGTACAGAAAATTTTTATTTTTGGACATTGTATGTTCCAATTTAAGCTTTTTGTTTATTTCTGATTCGTTAGCTATTACAAGTTCTACACTGTCTGCTGGCTTTTTAAGAATCTCTACAACACTCGGATGGCCAGTCCTTATATTATCTAAATTCTCTTCCGCCTTATTTGATTGTAGTTCATTTTGTATCGTTTTCTGTTTTGCTCTAGTCATAACATTAAGTATTTTTTCATTCATGCTTTTTAACTCATCTGATGTAATATTGTTAATAAAAACACGTGACAACGCATCTGCAGCTACATTATCACATCCTTTTACATACTCTACTGTAAAATCATATTCCTCTAAACACAACCTTAATTTTGTGAGTCTACTTGATGGATTTGTCATATTGAATAAATAAATTAATGGTCGGTGATCTGTTAAAATTTTGAAATGTTTACCATATAAGTAAGGTCGGAAATGTTTTACTGCCCATACAATGGCGAGTAATTATTTTTCAATAGTAGAATATCGTACTTCAGCTTTATTTAAACTTCTGCTTGCATAAGCAACTGGTTTTCTATTTTTATTCGATAACACTGCTCCTACTGCAAACCCACTTGCATACGTTTGAACAATAAATTCATTATTTTCAGAAAAATTTGGATATTGAAGCACGGGTGGTTGTATTAACGATTCTTTCAAAGTTCGAAATGATTCTTCACATTCTTTTGTCCAGTTAAAGTTAACATTTTTCCTACTTAAAATATTTAACGGTATGGCAATTTCAGCAAAATTTGGTATATATTTCCTATAGTAATTTGCAAAAGCTACGAATCTTTTGACTTCATCGGAATTTTTCGGAACGGGATACTTTTTTAGCACTTGAATTTTGTTTGGATCGGGTAAAATACCTTCAGAAGTTATGATGTGTCCCAAATATAATATTTCTTTCTTTAAAAATTCGGATTTGTTAGGATTGAGCTTTAAATTTACTTTTCGGAGCCTCTCAAAAACTTTAATTAAATTAGAATTGTGATCGTTTAAATTTCTTCCAAAAACTATTAAATCGTCTAAATATACGAAACAACTTTCATAGTTTAGGCCTGACATTGCAACTGTCATTATACGTGAAAACGAACTAGGACTTGTTTTTAAACCCATTGGAAGCCTCTTCATCTGAAACTGTCCTTGACTCGTTGTAAATGCTGTGAAGGGTCTACTATCTTTATCTAGTTTTACTTGATAATATCCTTGACTAAGATCTAAATGAGAAAAATATACTGCACCTGAAAGTGAGTCAAAAATATCTGTTATGTTGGGAAGTGGAAATTTATCATCCTGAATTTTCTGATTTAAAAGACGATAGTCGACCACTAATCTCCATTTCTTTTGATTATTTACGCCTACCTTTTTAGGTACTAGGAGAATAGGTGATGACCATTCGCTTTTCGTAGGTTCAATAATATTATTATCACACATTTGACGTATCTGCGTGTCAACTTCGGTTTTTTGCGCATGTGGTATTCTATAAGGTTTAACGTAAACTGGTTTTGTATTTTCTTTCAAAGTTATTGATTGTTCATAAATATTTGTTGTTGACAATTTATCATTTGGTAAATGGAAAATATCTGCATATTTAGCACAAATTTTCATGATAGAATCTCGCTCTTCTTTGTTTAATTTATCAGCATTGATAGTATCTAGAACTTCTTTAACCCTATCGACTGAATTTTGTGTTAAATCAAATTTGCAATACTTATAATCACTTAATTTGTGAGTTTCAGGAATCCATGTTTTTAATCGAATTTCCTCTTCGCTAGTATTTAAAATTTTTACCGGTATTTCTGAGTTTCGAGGTCTCGCAACAACTCCTGCTAAAAACACATTTCCACCTAATTGTTTCGGTAATACTACACAATCTTCATTAGTTGTTTGTTACGAGCCAAACTCACAGCTCGTTGCCGGCCTGCTAGTGGAGAAGGGGTGAGTTCCTGCGGGTGCAAAGGGTCAGGTCGCTAGAGGTTCGCAAAGAAGAGAGAGCACACTGTTTTGTGTAGCGACGTCGCCAGGGCGCCACCAGTTTTTATTAAGACACAATTACAACAACAAAAAACCGGAAAAATATTTAACTATTGTAATTGCAAGCGGTTACTTAAAATATTTGATTACAATAAAACCTAAGGTCACTAATTAAAAAAAGTAAGAGTGAGAAATAACTAAATAATTAAGCAAAAGAAAATGAGTAAGATATTAATGATAATGATTTAATGCGACTAACGGTTTACGATAAATACGAGCAATACGAACGATAGTTTAATTACGAAAGGCGACGAACTAATTAACGATAAATACGAGCGATACGAACGATGTTTACGAAACGAACAAATTAGTTGGAGTCGTAACGAATAACGATTTGATTAATTATTTCGAGGGCTATGGGATAAACGAAGTAGGCCACACGCTCGGTAGTCCTAACGAACGTACGAGGTATCACCGTAGAGCGGAGCGTCACAGTCTTACCGGTTGTTATTACTAGGTTATGTGCGAGTGCTAGTTACGCCAAACTTCGAAACGTTTTGCGATACAATAAAGAAAAGGTAAGGCGACTAATACTTAAACTTAATGAGATGGAATGGAAGTACCATGGGCACCTGCCTCCTTCGATATCCACGACGAGATGTCGAAACACAGCGGCGTCGCAGCGAATTTCCAGTCGATGTCGAGTCGAGGTTTTTGGTGACGGCCTGTCCAACCGATGGTAACTCTCCAGCTGTTCTGGGAGGGCTCACAACTGCCCACGACAGTTGGAATTCATAGAATTCGTTCTCCCACTCAAAACTGGCTCCAATTCTCGATCACGGGAATAACAAGATCAGCGACAAAAACAAAAAAGCTGCGGATCGACTGCAGCTTCTCCGATTTTAGCGGGATGGTCTAGTGCTCTTAATAAAAAAAAATCCGACGAAGTCGTAGTGCTCGAACGCACTATTTCTTTTTACAGCTCACAAATGCGCTCCAAGCGATAGCACCTTTTAGGGGACCCAACAGATCCGACGAATGCGATTCCAAACGTAACGCCAAAGAAAAGGTTGCTAAAACGAACTGCAAAAGAGGAAAGCACTAACCCCCAACACCATTCAACACGGAGTACCAAAGCAAAATGGATTCCCTTCCACCTGCGATGACGTGGCAAGGTAACGAAGCGAGAGTTCACGGAAGTTTGGCCCTCTAGTGGCAAACTTACGAAACGTCGAATTCCGACGAAAATCCCTAATCGATGTAACTAATGAGTGGATGCGATGGTTATTAACAAAAGAAAAAAACAAACAAAGCTATCAAGATTCCAGAAATGACGAAGACTCTAGGGGACGCTCCACGGCGTTTGTTCCCACCTAGGTAAGCAAATGAAATTCGCGAACAAAAATAACAAACAGAACGAAAATCGAATTTCAGAGTGAAGCTCTGGGATGGCGCGATCCATCCAGTTCCTTATAGCAAGAACCAAGCTGAAACGATCCAGAAGACCGATCTACAAACAGCGAGGCTGAAACACTCATCTGAGCCCCTCCAAGCTCAGAATCATCGCGACAGTCTTGCGACTGGGGGAGTCAAAAGCTCGGGACGAACCCTCCACCAAAGTTGTCCTTCATTGCCACCGTGCCCAACCCAACCACCCATGCACGAAATGACGAAACGAAAAAAAAAACGAGTAAACAAAATGTAATCCGATCCGAGAATGCCAATAAAAACCGAAATAGCTACTGCGAATTTTCAATTCGTAACATGTTATTGGTAAATACTGAATTGTTTCGCAACGTGGTGGAATTACTAAAATATTGTGGTTCTGGTCTGATTCCAAAGGTACTGTTACTGTACTGTCGCAATTTGACAATGTCATTGTATTTTCCGCGTAATTAATATTTCCTTTGTGTTTTTTAATAAAATTTCTACCAAGAATTCCATCATTTACACAATTCAAATTTTTAAAAACGTAAAATTTTTGTTGAAAAATGTTTCCCTTTATATCGACAGTTAAATATGCAAATCCTTCTGAAAAAATGTTACCTCCTATTCCTCTAATTTTTATTCTATCTTGTTGAATTATAGTGCCATGAGGTAAACAATGTAACTTTATCGCTGACAAACTAGCTCCAGTATCCACTAAGAACCTTAATTTGTTTTCTTTGATATTAACTTTTATGCAATCTACTCCTGAATATGCATTGATTTGATTAATTTGCTTGGGCACGAAAAAACTGTTCCCGCATATTTTCTCCTACAGTATGATTCACCTGATTCCGGAAATTTGAGTGTCGACTGTTTGTGGTGCGATTGTTTAAATTTTGATTATTTGTATTTCGCCTATTTGGAATCTGATTGTATGTATTTCGACCTCTATATTGATTGTTTCTGAAATGATTACCGCGATTGTTGTTAAAATATCGAGCATTGTTATAATATCCAAAATTTTGTGTTCGGTTTGGATTATTGAAGTTAAAGTTACTGTTTGGAATATTATTATGGAACCCCCTGAAATTCCTTTCAAATTGACCACGACTCCTATCCTGATAAAATTTTGATCCTCTGCCACGAGTAGACATGGATAAGACCTGTGAATCATTTTCATGCCTTCGAGTAGCATTTTCATCAATGGCAGATCTAATACAGTCTTTTAAACTGGTAAAATTTCGAGCTGTTATTATCGTACTAAGTTTAGAATCTCGTAACCCATCTGAAAATTGTTTGATGGCAATTCTTTCGTTCACGGGCTTTAGTACCTTAAAATTATCATCATCTCCATTAGCTTGGGATATTGTTAAATTTACAAAGAGATCTTCAATTTCCTTACCGAAATCGTCTATTGATTTACTACCTTGAATTGTGCGCATTAATTTTGTTTGTAGGGCCGTATCAGATTTCCTAGTTAGAAGATGTATTTTCATGTCTGTAACTAGCGCTTGTACTGAGTTATAAGTACGATTCAGCCTAATTTTTGCGCTTGGAGACAAACGAGTTTTTAAAACAAAATTGATTAAATTTGTTTTATTATTTGTATCCAACATGGTATCGTATAATTCAATGGCATCTAAAAGTTGCAAAGTGACATCTTCTTTACTATTCATTATTGGCAACAGATTGCAAGCTACTTTGAGATCGAAAGCCATTTTGAGAAAATCGGTGCTTTTTTCTTTCATAAAACTTAAAATTTCGTGGTATACCTTATTAACGGCAGCTACGGATTTTTTTAAACTGTTCAACTTTTTCCTCAGTATACAAATTCAAATCTTTATCAAAGTGCGTTATAACTGTTTGTAATTGTAAATATACTATTTTGGCTTCCTCTACTTTTCTAACCAAACATTCACCCTTATTGCGCCGGTCACTCCCTATTTTAATTAAATATGTCCTAATACTTTTCAATTCGTCATAGATTTCCTGTACTGCTACCATCTAAAATTACATTAGAAATCAAACTTGAAACAAATAGCTGACTCTAAACATTGATCATCCGGGAAATGACTATTTATTTCTACTACAAATATAAAATTCAGCAAAATACAATATACCCACTTCGCTTACGGTGGCTTTTCCTGTATCGTGTATCGATGTCCTATCAAAGTTCATAACTGAAACTTGCTGCGTTTTGATTACGACATATCCGCTTGTGTCAATATACCTTAATTCCGTGTTCTTCACCTGCACAAAGTTTACAAATACACAAAATTTTATTAAAAGGCCATATTTCACTGCACTGACGAAAACAACGCACAGACACTTAACTAACATCCAGCGAAGGTCGTCTGCAAAGATGATGAATTTATTCCTCGGTTATCTCTACCTGTCTGGATCTTCGTAGGTCGTTCCGCCGAATTTCCTGTTGTACTGTCCGTCGCAGGTACTGTTTCATCTTCTTGACGCAAAACAACACAATAACGCAAATAATCACCCCTGCGAGTCCCAGTATTGTCCATTCCATGCTTGAAAAAGAAGTTGCGGCATTTCCAGCGCCTGTTTGGGCTATTATTACCTCCTCCTTTGACTGTGATTTTACCCATTTTTTATCCAGTGACCACGTTATTTTTTCCAATAGGTAGCTGGCAGGATCGGTATGTGGTGCTCTGGCAGGGTCGCCATGTAGTGCTCTGGCAGGGTCGCCATGTAGTGCTTTGGCAGGGTCGCCATGTAGTGCTCTGGCAGGGTCGCCATGTAGTGCTTGCCGGGGGTAGGCAGCTTAGCCAGGTTACGCACTATTGAAACTCACCACTTAACTACTACATATCTTTATTATTCTTCTCTCTTACACCGCTTGGTTGCCTAGACACTTACTGCTTACTTACTAACTTCTTACTCTCTTCTTAATACATTTCTTATTAGTCTTATTACATACATTATTGCTTACATCTACATTAATCCCTACTCTAATCATTCACTCTCTCTTTCACACATTACTTATTAATTACTCCACTACAATTTATTTGACACTGTAAATCTGCAATAACTACTTTTGAATTGTAAATTAATAAAATATAAAAGCACTCACCCTGCACCAAACAGACCATCCAATCGAAATTTAGAAGATCGGTTTATGACGGGATGGAAGGTCTAATAAGCCTATAAGAAAGACACTTGAAATTGAAATATTACGGAAACAAAGTACAAAAATTACTTACTTAAACTGCATGACATTTGTGCCATAGACTTTCACAATGTACGCAGGTTTTGTAAATTGTAGTCAAAATAATGTTTACTGAACCGAAAAATGTATATTAAAAATAAAAAAATATATGTTTTTAATGTATCCTTGTATTACACAAAATGCAGTTAGCACTAATAAAAGGAACTCTAATCACTTTTGTTATAACTTAAATTATTTATTGTTTAATTTCAGCAGCTACCTTAGACATTTTTTTTCTTATAAATTGTTGCTTCGTATACTACAAATATCTTTTTAAATAATAAAATACCTAGCGGAAAAGCAATGGTGAAAAGGGGTGATATAGAAAATCGTTGGTGTTTGAGCGTAGATTGTTTTGCACAATATAACCTTTGCAGTTATCCTAGAAACGAATTTCTTTTTTTTTTCTACATTGATTTAATAAAATCGGGTGATTGAGGAAATTTTCAAGGCTTGGGTTGTCTTGAGCCCTACTAAGAGCTTCTAGCGTTTATAATAACAATAATAATAATCAATTGGTCCTATAGTAAATTTTGCTAAAGTCTGTGTTGTTCATTTTGAAAGCAACAGAATTATACCAAAAAATTATTCTTTATTCGTTTGGCAATTCTCCATAAACTTAAATTTAGAAAATGTTTAAAATATCTGATAATATTTAATCATATTTTCAGATTCTTGGATAACACAGTAATATCATCAATTTCATTTTTTCCCGAATACACCTCATTCACGTTATGGACGGAATACTTATTCCCTCAAGTAGATTTGCCCTTCTGTAAAAATTCGACAATTTTTTCGTGGCCGTTTCGATAAGCTGCGTGAAGCGGTGTCCGACCATTCTTCGCGCTACCATTGATCTCAGTTCCGGATTTCACTAGGTATTTGACAGTTTCTTCGTGGCCATTTTGGGAAGCTACGTAAAGTGGTGTGAAACCTTCGTTATCCGCGCGATTTATTTCAACACCTGACTCTACCAAGTACTCGACAGTTTTCTGGTGGCCGCTTAACGAAGCCATACGAAGTGGTGTAACACCACCGACATTAGCGCAATTGATATCAGCTCCCGATAGGTGCAAGTATTCGGCAATACTTTTATGGCCGTTACGACAAGCTGCGTAAAGCGGCGTCTGACCATTTTTCGTGCAACGATTGATATCAGATCCGGATTTCACTAGGTATTTGACAGTTTCTTCGTGGCCATTGTGGGAAGCTAAGTAAAGTGGTGTAAAACCCTCGTTATCCGCGCGATTTATTTCAACACCTGACTCTACCAAGTATTCTACTGTTTTCTGCTGGCCGCTTAACGAAGCCGTACAAAGTGGTGTATAACCATCGACATCAGAGCAATTGATATCCGCCCCCGACAGGTGCAAGTATTCGACAATAATTTTATTGCCGCTATAACAAGCTGCGTGAAGCGGTGTCCGACCATTTTTCGCGCTACGATTGATCTCGGCTCCGGATTTCACTAGGTATATGACAGTTTCTTCATGACCATAGCCAGAAGCTACGTAAAGCGGTGTAAAACCCTCGTTATCCGCGCGATTTATTTCAACATCTGACTGCACTAAGTATTCGACAATTTTCTGATGGCCGTTAAACGAAGCCATACGAAGTGGTGTATCCCCACCGACATTAGCGCAATTGAGGTGCAAGTATTCGGCGATATTTTTATGGCCGTTACGACAAGCTGCGTAAAGCGGCGTCCGACCATTTTTCGTGCAACGATTGATCTCAGCTCCGGATTTCACTAGGTATTTGACAGTTTCTTCGTGGCCATTTTGGGAAGCTAAGTAAAGTGGTGTAAAACCCTCGTTATCCGCGCGATTTATTTCAACACCTGACTCTACCAAGTATTCTACAGTTTTCTGGTGGCCGCTGAACGAAGCCGTATGAAGTGGTGTATAACCGTGGACATCGGCGCAATTGATATCCGCTCCCGATAGGTGCAAGTACTCGGCAATATTTTTATGGCCGTTACGACAAGCTGCGTAAAGCGGCGTCCGACCATTTTTCGCGCTACGATTGACCTCAGCTCCGGATTTCACTAGGTATTTGACAGTTTCTTCGTGGCCATTTTCGGAAGCTAAGTAAAGTGGTGTAAAACCCTCGTTATCCGCGCGATTTATTTCAACACCTGACTCTACCAAGTATTCTACAGTTTTCTGGTGGCCGCTGAACGAAGCCGTATGAAGTGGTGTATAACCGTGGACATCGGCGCAATTGATATCCGCTCCCGATAGGTGCAAGTATTCGGCAATATTTTTATGGCCGTTACGACAAGCTGCGTAAAGCGGCGTCCGACCATTTTTCGCGCTACGATTGACCTCAGCTCCGGATTTCACTAGGTATTTGACAGTTTCTTCGTGGCCATTTTGGGAAGCTAAGTAAAGTGGTGTAAAACCCTCGTTATCCGCGCGATTTATTTCAACATCTGACTCCACTAAGTATTCGACAATTTTCTGATGGCCGTTAAACGAAGCCATACGAAGTGGTGTATCCCCACCGACATTAGCGCAATTGAGGTGCAAGTATTCGGCGATATTTTTATGGCCGTTACGACAAGCTGCGTAAAGCGGCGTCCGACCATTTTTCGTGCAACGATTGATCTCAGCTCCGGATTTCACTAGGTATTTGACAGTTTCTTCGTGGCCATTTTCGGAAGCTAAGTAAAGTGGTGTAAAACCCTCGTTATCCGCGCGATTTATTTCAACACCTGACTCTACCAAGTATTCTACAGTTTTCTGGTGGCCGCTGAACGAAGCCGTATGAAGTGGTGTATAACCGTGGACATCGGCGCAATTGATATCCGCTCCCGATAGGTGCAAGTATTCGGCAATATTTTTATGGCCGTTACGACAAGCTGCGTAAAGCGGCGTCCGACCATTTTTCGCGCTACGATTGACCTCAGCTCCGGATTTCACTAGGTATTTGACAGTTTCTTCGTGGCCATTTTGGGAAGCTAAGTAAAGTGGTGTAAAACCCTCGTTATCCGCGCGATTTATTTCAACACCTGACTCTACCAAGTATTCTACAGTTTTCTGGTGGCCGCTGAACGAAGCCGTATGAAGTGGTGTATAACCGTGGACATCGGCGCAATTGATATCCGCTCCCGATAGGTGCAAGTATTCGGCAATATTTTTATGGCCGTTACGACAAGCTGCGTAAAGCGGCGTCCGACCATTTTTCGCGCTGCGATTGACCTCAGCTCCGGATTTCACTAGGTATTTGACAGTTTCTTCGTGGCCATTTTGGGAAGCTAAGTAAAGTGGTGTAAAACCCTCGTTATCCGCGCGATTTATTTCAACACCTGACTCTACCAAGTATTCTACTGTTTTCTGGTGGCCGCTTAACGAAGCCGTACAAAGTGGTGTATGACCATCGACATCAGAGCAATTGATATCCGCCCCCGACAGGTGCAAGTATTCGACAATAATTTTATTGCCGCTATAACAAGCTGCGTGAAGCGGTGTCCGACCATTTTTCGCGCTACGATTGATCTCGGCTCCGGATTTCACTAGGTATATGACAGTTTCTTCATGACCATAGCCAGAAGCTACGTAAAGCGGTGTAAAACCCTCGTTATCCGCGCGATTTATTTCAACACCTGACTCTACCAAGTATTCTACTGTTTTCTGGTGGCCGCTTAACGAAGCCGTACAAAGTGGTGTATAACCATCGACATCAGAGCAATTGATATCCGCCCCCGACAGGTGCAAGTATTCGACAATAATTTTATTGCCGCTATAACAAGCTGCGTGAAGCGGTGTCCGACCATTTTTCGCGCTACGATTGATCTCGGCTCCGGATTTCACTAGGTATATGACAGTGTCTTCATGACCATAGCCAGAAGCTACGTAAAGCGGTGTAAAATCCTCGTTATCCGCGCGATTTATTTCAACATCTGACTCCACTAAGTATTCGACAATTTTCTGATGGCCGTTAAACGAAGCCATACGAAGTGGTGTATCCCCACCGACATTAGCGCAATTGAGATCAGCTCCCGATAGGTGCAAGTATTCGGCGATATTTTTATGGCCGTTACGACAAGCTGCGTAAAGCGGGGTCCGACCATTTTTCGTGCAACGATTGATCTCAGCTCCGGATTTCACTAGGTATTTGACAGTTTCTTCGTGGCCATTTTCGGAAGCTAAGTAAAGTGGTGTAAAACCCTCGTTATCCGCGCGATTTATTTCAACACCTGACTCTACCAAGTATTCTACAGTTTTCTGGTGGCCGCTGAACGAAGCCGTATGAAGTGGTGTATAACCGTGGACATCGGCGCAATTGATATCCGCTCCCGATAGGTGCAAGTATTCGGCAATATTTTTATGGCCGTTACGACAAGCTGCGTAAAGCGGCGTCCGACCATTTTTCGCGCTACGATTGACCTCAGCTCCGGATTTCACTAGGTATTTGACAGTTTCTTCGTGGCCATTTTGGGAAGCTAAGTAAAGTGGTGTAAAACCCTCGTTATCCGCGCGATTTATTTCAACACCTGACTCTACCAAGTATTCTACAGTTTTCTGGTGGCCGCTGAACGAAGCCGTATGAAGTGGTGTATAACCGTGGACATCGGCGCAATTGATATCCGCTCCCGATAGGTGCAAGTATTCGGCAATATTTTTATGGCCGTTACGACAAGCTGCGTAAAGCGGCGTCCGACCATTTTTCGCGCTACGATTGACCTCAGCTCCGGATTTCACTAGGTATTTGACAGTTTCTTCGTGGCCATTTTGGGAAGCTAAGTAAAGTGGTGTAAAACCCTCGTTATCCGCGCGATTTATTTCAACACCTGACTCTACCAAGTATTCTACAGTTTTCTGGTGGCCGCTGAACGAAGCCGTATGAAGTGGTGTATAACCGTGGACATCGGCGCAATTGATATCCGCTCCCGATAGGTGCAAGTATTCGGCAATATTTTTATGGCCGTTACGACAAGCTGCGTAAAGCGGCGTCCGACCATTTTTCGCGCTGCGATTGACCTCAGCTCCGGATTTCACTAGGTATTTGACAGTTTCTTCGTGGCCATTTTGGGAAGCTAAGTAAAGTGGTGTAAAACCCTCGTTATCCGCGCGATTTATTTCAACACCTGACTCTACCAAGTATTCTACTGTTTTCTGGTGGCCGCTTAACGAAGCCGTACAAAGTGGTGTATGACCATCGACATCAGAGCAATTGATATCCGCCCCCGACAGGTGCAAGTATTCGACAATAATTTTATTGCCGCTATAACAAGCTGCGTGAAGCGGTGTCCGACCATTTTTCGCGCTACGATTGATCTCGGCTCCGGATTTCACTAGGTATATGACAGTTTCTTCATGACCATAGCCAGAAGCTACGTAAAGCGGTGTAAAACCCTCGTTATCCGCGCGATTTATTTCAACACCTGACTCTACCAAGTATTCTACTGTTTTCTGGTGGCCGCTTAACGAAGCCGTACAAAGTGGTGTATAACCATCGACATCAGAGCAATTGATATCCGCCCCCGACAGGTGCAAGTATTCGACAATAATTTTATTGCCGCTATAACAAGCTGCGTGAAGCGGTGTCCGACCATTTTTCGCGCTACGATTGATCTCGGCTCCGGATTTCACTAGGTATATGACAGTGTCTTCATGACCATAGCCAGAAGCTACGTAAAGCGGTGTAAAATCCTCGTTATCCGCGCGATTTATTTCAACATCTGACTCCACTAAGTATTCGACAATTTTCTGATGGCCGTTAAACGAAGCCATACGAAGTGGTGTATCCCCACCGACATTAGCGCAATTGAGATCAGCTCCCGATAGGTGCAAGTATTCGGCGATATTTTTATGGCCGTTACGACAAGCTGCGTAAAGCGGGGTCCGACCATTTTTCGTGCAACGATTGATCTCAGCTCCGGATTTCACTAGGTATTTGACAGTTTCTTCGTGGCCATTTTCGGAAGCTAAGTAAAGTGGTGTAAAACCCTCGTTATCCGCGCGATTTATTTCAACACCTGACTCTACCAAGTATTCTACAGTTTTCTGGTGGCCGCTGAACGAAGCCGTATGAAGTGGTGTATAACCGTGGACATCGGCGCAATTGATATCCGCTCCCGATAGGTGCAAATATTCGGCAATATTTTTATGGCCGTTACGACAAGCTGCGTAAAGCGGCGTCCGACCATTTTTCGCGCTACGATTGACCTCAGCTCCGGATTTCACTAGGTATTTGACAGTTTCTTCGTGGCCATTTTGGGAAGCTAAGTAAAGTGGTGTAAAACCCTCGTTATCCGCGCGATTTATTTCAACATCTGACTCCACTAAGTATTCGACAATTTTCTGATGGCCGTTAAACGAAGCCATACGAAGTGGTGTATCCCCACCGACATTAGCGCAATTGAGATCAGCTCCCGATAGGTGCAAGTATTCGGCGATATTTTTATGGCCGTTACGACAAGCTGCGTAAAGCGGCGTCCGACCATTTTTCGTGCAACGATTGATCTCAGCTCCGGATTTCACTAGGTATTTGACAGTTTCTTCGTGGCCATTTTCGGAAGCTAAGTAAAGTGGTGTAAAACCCTCGTTATCCGCGCGATTTATTTGAACACCTGACTCTACCAAGTATTCTACAGTTTTCTGGTGGCCGCTGAACGAAGCCGTATGAAGTGGTGTATAACCGTGGACATCGGCGCAATTGATATCCGCTCCCGATAGGTGCAAGTATTCGGCAATATTTTTATGGCCGCTCTCACAAGCTGCGCAAAGCGGCGTTCGACCATCTTTTGCGCAACGATTGATCTCAGCTCCGGATTTCACTAGGCATTTGACAGTTTCTTCATGACCATTTTGAGAAGCTCGGTAAAGTGGTGTAAAACCCTCGTTATCCGCGCGATTTATTTCAACACCTGACTCTACCAAGTACTCGACAGTTTTCTGGTGGCCGCTAAACGAAGCCGTACGAAGTGGTGTATGACCGTCGACATCAGCGCAATTGATATCCGCTCCCGATTGGTGCAAGTATTCGACAATATTTGTATGGCCGCTATAACAAGCTGCGTAAAACGGTGTCCGACCATCTTTCGTGCAACCATTGATCTCAGCTCCGGATTTCACTAGGTATTTGACAGTTTCTTCGTAACCAAGTTCAGAAGCTACGTAAAGCGGTGTAAAACCGTGGTTATCCGCGCGATCTATTTCAGCCCCAGATTTCACTAAGAACTGAACAATTTGTTTGTGCCCCAAGACGCAAGCTAGAAAAAGGAGAGTATATTGATTAGCCATAGTAACAAAATTAATTTCGCCATGAGAAATACAAAATTTCTCATTACCAAACAATTTTACCACGTTGTCGTATCCAAGTAATGCAGAATAATACAAAATGTTTATTTTATCGTTAGAAGAATATGACTGAAAGAGAATTGAGTTTTTTTCAATTTCTTGTAGCAATTGTAGCTCTGCTGCCAAACTTTCACATTTCCTAGCATATAACAACGGTGTTAAACCAAGTAGTGAATCATGTTCTGAATTATTGTTTTTACTTTGTAAATACATTACTGCATCAAGATATTCTTTACTTTCCGGTTTACCATTAAGGCTGGGAGTCAGTTCAACATTGTATCCGTTACTTTCGTGACTTATTTCTACACGAGGATGCCTTTGACCCCATGAGCATATCAGGTGTAACGCACTTCTTCCACCTTTGTCTTTGCATGCTAATATTTTATCATCGTAACTTTTAAGTAAGTCGAAATTTTTGTATAACACAGCTACATGAGCAGGCGACGTCTCTCCTGACAACATGTCAAAGAAAAACCGTACGTTATTATACTTTTGATCAAAAAATACGTCGACAGGTATGTCTCTAGTATTTTTGGATAAGTAAGTACCAGCCAAATATTCCGCAAAGGATCCGTGAAGAAAATGTGGAACGTTATTTTTTAATTCAGTTATGATACCAATGGATTCATAATTGTTATTTGAAAATTTTTGCACCGATTTTTGGTAATTAATATTTAATTGTTCTAATACAAAGTCGGGATATACTAATTTTAAAGCAAATATTTCATAGTGTTTTAACATCTTTTGTTTCTCCTGACGTATCTTATTTGCCTGATGGGGATTTTTAAGATCGTAATCAATTTTATGTTCGTAGAAAATGTTAAACTTTTCATCAATAAAACTATGATACAGATCAGTCAAGAGAAATCTATTGTCCAGAAGCTGCAAGTACTTTTCGTTATTTTGACGAAATAGTTCCGTGAGCATAAAAATCTGAAGCGGAATTCCTAATATGTCAACATGTTCGATAATTACAAATGTAGATTTAATTTTCTGAATAGTTGTCTCAATTTCGCCTGCAGAATTGGAAGCGTTAAGTCGTTGTTTTATGTAATTTTCTTGCTGTTTTCCGCTAAACTGTGTTAAGCTATATGAGAGTACGTTGAATTTTTTTTCTAGAAGTGTTTGAAGATGTTGTCTGCTGGTTATCCACTGAACAAAACCCTTTGTTGATAACTGAGTTATTATATCCAACGCAACATGTAAATATTCGCTTAAAATTTCATCTATTGCATCCCAAACATACAAAACATGGTTTTGTTTTAAACATAATTCGAAAAAACTTTTCTCCAACTTTTTCAAGGAACTGTATTTTTTGTTAATAAATTGCTGAAACAAACTTAGGTAGTTTAATGTCTTACTTGAAGAGAAAGATTTTAGAAACGAATTAACATCTTTTGAAGTTATCACGACTGTCCAGTACTCAGGTGGACATTTATTTTTAAAACTTTTCATCAATTCTGATTTGCCCATTCCGGGGTCACTCGTTATTAAATTAATTTTATTACTGAACTGAGAGAACACTGCGCTCTCCTGCGTCAAATGCTCGTTGGAAGATTTGTAATTTTCTAAGTCACTCATATCACCTTTGCTTTGAATCCATTTCAAATGTCCGTTATTCGCAAATTCGAAATAATGAAAGGTGTGCGTTTTTGAATTATCCGCATATATTTTTTGTAATTTTGTTTCGGTAAGTTTATTATTACATATGTACATTTTCTTACGACTATCTGATTTACCTGATTGATCGGTAAACTTATTTTCATTACCGACTGCACTTTGTGTTACATTTTCATCACCGACAGATTGTTCTGTTTTTGGAAGGTCAACATTAATTATTTTATATTTATAAAATTTGTCTTTTACTTCCTCAAAATTTCCCGCGTAATATAAAATGATAATCGTGTTTTCACGAACTTGGTCTAAATATTTAATATCTATACAATTTTGGGATAAATGACGTTCGATATAAGGTTCAGAGAGTATTTCCTGCTTTCCGTCTATAGACCATGGTCCATTTAACATTCCCATCAAATCGGACGTTGTTACATTGTCCAAAGATTCTTCATTATTTCCGAAAGCTGTCATTAAATTCAGTTCTTCCTTCCCTTGAATAGAGACTGTAAAGTTTCTAAGTAATGTGTCGTAACACTCTCGTTTAGACTTAATATTTGATAAATTTTTGAACAATGGATACATTTCCATCCATTCTTCATTAATTCCGTCACTAAGCACGATAAATTTGTCATTTTCACAAAGCTGGATGGCTTTTTCAAGGTCTTGATTCTCATGTATTATTAGTGGACATTTATTCATTAACCATAACAACTGCGTTAATAGCTTTGGATTTAAATTTTCGACTGCATTGCCATGGATATAGTCAACAGACAGTTGATAATTTATCCTTATTCTGTTTATTTCTTTAATGTCAATTTTTTCTTTTCCAATTTCACCCCATAGTTGTTTTGCATTTTCACATGAATTCTTATCAATCAATGTGATAGTGAACATAGACACAGCATCCCGAAATATTTTCATTTTGTCGTTAACAAGACCACAAGACAAGGGTTCAATGTGGGGCGCCAAAAGCTGCAACCCGATGGCACGTTGCATCCACTTCTTATTCAATGTTTCCTTTGTACCTTCTCGCATATTCCATTCCGATATTATTTTGTAGTATTGATCGAAAGCATTTTCACTGGAAGAGTATGTTGTTCTGAACATTTCAATTGTTGATAGTCTTAGTGCGTCAAAATTTTCTTGATTAGTATAAAGAGAGAATTTCTTAAAAAACGATTGATACTCTTGAATCTCGGAAAAATGCTCTGCCGTCCATGCGTCTTCCACAATTTCAAATTTGTAAATATAATTTACTTTCTTTGAAATTTCGAAATTGAAAGGTAAGTTGTACATTTTAACAGGTCGTACATAAAAGTTTTGTCCTGGAAGTTGAAATTTTGCGTCATGGGAAACATCGGTAAATGGACGATTAGTATAAATTATAAACTCTTGTACCGCATTCTTCAATTTTAGGTAAGATTCAAAATATTTTTTTAAAGAAAAATCTCCTTTTTCAGATTTCAGATGCTCCACGGATAAAATTTTTCGATCGCTGTGTTTTAACTGGATTGCTTTTACCTCTATATTTTCATCAGACTCAATTTTGACGACTACATCGTCAAATGCCCCGAAATTGTTATCGTTTGACGATATTTGAAAGTTGTTTATTTTATCGTCGCTTACCATTTGTAAAACGATGTTGGCTATAGTGATATTTTCGTAATCTTTCCCCTTGTCTGTGGTCCCGGATCGCTTTTTAAATGTCTGGAAATGCAAAAATAGGTCACTGTTGGTTGTTTACCATTTAAAATACAGCTGATGTGTTTTGACATCACCATTTTCAAAAAACAGCACACAATATAAGTTCCATTTCTTGTGTTTCCTTACTATGATAAAATAAAACAATAAATACTGAAAATTATCTTAATTAATACTTCTACAGCAATAAATATGATTGCACTTTGATAAAATATTATTTTTTAACAATTGACACTAATGTTCTGATAATAAAAAGCCAATACGAAGCAAGGAAACTCGTGTGATTCTTGATAAGAATTTTATCTGGTCTATTAGAAAATTATTGGAACTTTTGACTATTACGGGTAACTACAAATTGACTGTTCTTACCTGGGTTCAAGAACGATTTAAAACAATAACGTATTTCCATTAATATATGAATAGTCTTATTTCACAAAAAAAATCTATTCGGTTCCGAAATATAATCGTTAAACTTGTTCAACAGGTTTTAAGGAGGGGGCCAAAATAGTTAATACCAAAAAAAAAATCATGAATTAATGGCTTTAAATTCCGGAAACAGTCTTTAAGTCATTATAGTACCATTGTATCAAAGGTTTCTACGAAATATTTGAAATGTAACGCACAACTGACAGGTAGTTTCGCATTGAAATCTTTGATTGCCAATGGAAATTTTAAAGTATAAAAAAGGAAACAGACAAAAGGAGTAAAACACTTACCTCGCTTTTCTTCATTTTTTTGCACAAGACAAAATCTTCACAATTCACGCAAAAATGTGTAATAAATTAATAATTCTTTGCAATGGAGAAATTTTGACACGTCTTACTGATAATAACCAGTATTATAGTGTAGGTAACCGTATAGGTAAAAAAGTGGAAGGCTCGATTTGTTCGTAATAAGATAAGATAATAATCTAGAAATAAATTGAACTTTTCCAGTATGATAACGATATTGAATTTGCTTGAAATGTTATTCAATGTTTAAACAACCATTGGCAGAACTTTTTAATATTATACTGGGAATTAAGTTTTTTTTTTGTATAAATTTGAAAGTCCCAATTGGTTGGCATCCAGAATTGGTCGTTTCTAAATACTATGCAAGGCAGAGGTCTCCTTTTATTTCACCTTCTTCAACGATTTTTAATTTGCCTTGTAATACAATATATAATAATGGATGAACCTTTTCTAACAATTATGTTGCATAAATAACAAAAAATAACCAAGGTATTAAACATGTATTTACATATTTTTTATTACAATTACGAAATTTCAAGAAGTAACCAAGAATTTTAAGATATCATAAGTACAAATAAACGTCAAATTGTACAGAGAAAGGAAATCAAACACATTTTTAATTTTAGTTACACTACATTAATCTTTTGATGATAAAAAACCAATCGCAAGCAAGAAAATGTTTGTCACTTTTCTCGGAATTATTATTTATTTGCATAAAAAATATAATGTTGCGTAGACTATATCTAATCTCAAGTGTATATGCTTTAGGAGTGTCACATTCTTTGAGATATTTTTATGTGGCAAAAATTAATTACCATTCCAATACTAGAAAAAATTTCATCTTACTCTGTGCTACAAACAAAAAACCAAAATAATTCAGTATATAATATATAATATAAATATAAATAATAATAATGATCGCTTATTAATCCAGGGAAATTTAATGTTTATAGAGGGTAGATTCAATAGATATACTTCCAGAAATACAAAATTAGTTAATATTAAAATGATACATAGTATTTAATTATTTACAAACTTAGTTCAGACTGCACAAAAACAGCAGATGGCAACCGTGCATTACAAATTTTTAGAACAATTTTTAGTCTAATCATTTAGTCATTAGTTAAATATTCTCCTTCGGACGGTTTACCCATGAAACTAATTAATAAATGTTATAATTAAGGGTTTAAACGAAAGACAATTTCACTAAATCTAATAATTATTACGAAGCACTTGTTACTTTACAAAAAATAAAATAATAAGTACTTTCCAACTTGTAATTAGTAAAAACACGAAAGTTCCAATTAAATAACCATGAGCTCATGCACAATATTTTCGAAGTTGGTAACCCGTGTCGTCTAGTCGAGCAAACACTTCGACAATAACCAACAACCAACCCTGAGAACCATGGATAATCGCATAAAATTCAGTTGGAAAGCAACCATAGAACTCAACATTCTGTTTCTAAAAACGTCTGGATTGTGGCCCAGAAATGACGATACTTTCAAACTAGATTTGTACACAGCACGCATCGTAATTCTCGTCACAGTTTTCCTTCTAGTAGGACTACTGTCACAAGTGATCAATCTCTTCTCGACGACTTAATCTGACTGGAACAATCTACATTCTCCTAACAGAAATTATCTTCGCTTTGAAAATTTACTACATTGCCAAAAACATGTCCATAGTCAAAAAACTGATGAGGATGTTAGACGATGACTTGTTTCAACCACGAGACGTCAGTCAGGTTGCTTTGGTTCAACCAAATTTAGACGTCTGGAAGATGATCTACAAAGCGTTTATGACAACGTGTTGCGGGTCTAACTTATTTTGGGCGGTTTTTCCGCTACTGGATAAATCTAGCGAAGGTAATAGATTGCCATTTTTGGCTTGGTATCCATACAACACGAAAATTTCTCCGATGTATGAAATAACGTATGCTCATCAAGTCTTAAGCTACACTTGCACGTGCGTTACTCCTATAAACGTTGACACGTTTATAGCTGCCATAAATGTGTATACTACTAGTCAGTTTGACATTTTGTGTGATATCTTGAGGAATCTTCACTTGAGTAATAATGTGGGGGCCAAATGTGTTAGACACTACTGGATCATTTTAAAGTAAAGTTAATTTAATTAAAAAAGAAAAAAACTGTGTAATAATTAATTGTTTCAGTTTCGCCTATAACTCGAACAAATTTTTTAACTGGATTATTCTTTTGCAATTTTGTGTTAGCGCCACCATTACAGCAATGACACTGTTTCAACTAACCATTGTGAGTTTTATTGGAAATTAGTCTTTTAATTAACTAAATAAATATTTATGTTTTCTATAGGTTGAACCCTCACAACTGAATTTTTTTCTTTCGTGTCTTATGGAATGGCAGCTGTGACACAAATATTCACGTACTGTTGATTTGGCAACGAAGTGCAAATCAAGGTAATCAGTGACGTTTAACATTTATAGAAACCTCAATACTTATATTTACAATTCTTTGTATACTTAGAGTAACAATTTACCCTTCGCAGCTTACGAATGTAAATGGACCGATTTTTCTCCTAGAACTCAGAAGAATATTTTTTTCTTTATTCTGAGGTCGCAGAAACCTGTGAAAGTGTCAGCATCAAATGTGTTCTACTTTTCTCTGGAATCGTTCATGATGGTGAAAATTTCACATACATTATAAACTTTCCTATAGTAATATTTTTTTTTAGATTTTAAAAACGTCGTGGTCTTACTTTGCACTACTTCAACAAGTAAGTTCTTGAAGTACTGAAGATGTCATAGTTGTTATATGTATGTATAGTGTGTATGTGTAAAACAATACATTGTAAATAACAAAAGTTTTAAACACATAATCCAATAAATGCTAGAATTATATCACAAATAAGTTTTTTCCTTTATAACATCGCGAGACATTCATTAGAAAACAGTAAAGAAATTACATCTTGAAACTTAGAAGTTCCCTTAAAATTTAAATATTAAACATAGTTAGAATCTTTTACACAGCCAACTCTAATTCTCAGGATATTAGGCCGCGGAGTTTTAGCTGAGACACCCAATATATTGAACACATTCGCATTTTTTTTTTGTTCAAAACACAAAAAATAGGAATTACATAAATTTGTAATTAAATCAAAATTAAATACATCTAAATACACAATTGTTATTGTTAATAAATGACACTCACTGTTATTGCCACAAATTGAGGTTAAACTAATTAAACTACCCCTTAAGTCTTTCTTATTGTCGAAATAAGTATACACATATTAAGGAAAAAAGGCAAAATGTTGCCCCGCCCACCCGCTGTATCTCAATTGTGATGATTTTTTTTATTTGTCGTGAGCCAAGGGGGCGGAGTTTAACTGCAAAATCGTAATTTCTCTACGAGAAATTAAAAACATGTTTTTGAGTATCGTGTTGTTCAAAGAATACTACGTATATTAAGAAAAAAATAAAGGGAAAGGTTAGGTCCCACCCATACCAGCCTCAATCTCAATTCTCAATGTGATGAATTTTTCATTCGTTGTCAGTTCGAGGGGCGGAGTTTGATTGCAAGATCCATATTTGTCTACAAAAATTTACCATTCGAAACATGTTTTAAGGTTCTTGTTCTGAAAACACGACTACGTATGTCAAGAAAAAAGCAAAATATAAACCCCACCCACCCGCCCTATCTCAATTATGATGATTTTTTTTATCGACGAGAGCCAAACGGACGAAATTTAATTGCAAAATCCATATTTCCTTACAAAATTTACCATTTTAAATGCATCCTAAGTTTCTAAGAATAAAAAAATCATCACAATTGAGATGGAGTGGGTGGGCGGGGTTTGTATTTTGTATTTTTCTTAATATGCACTGTATTTTTTGAACAACACGATACTCAAAAACATGTTTTTAATTTCTTGTAAAGAAATAAGTGTTTGCAGTTAAGCTACCCCCCTGGTTCTCTGCGAATAAAAAAAATCATCACAATCGAGAAAGGGCGGGTGGGCGGGCTTCCATCTTGCCTTTTTGTTTTAATATGTGTAGACTTCTTTTCACAACAAGGAACTTAAAACATGTTTAAAATAGAACATTTGTATAAGGAAATAGCGATTATAGGGCGGAGTCTAACTGCAAAATCCATATTTCCTTGCAAAAATGTACCATTTCAACCATGTTTTAAGTTTCTTCTTATGAAAAGATGGCCATGTACATTAAGAAAAAATAAAGGTAAAATATAGGTATCGCCCATCCGCCCTATCTCAATTCTGATGATTTTTTCTATTCATCGTGAGCCGAGGGGTGGAGCTTAATTGTAAAATCCTTATTTTTCTACGAGAAATTACCATGTGAAATATGTTCTTAAGTTATTGTATTAAACAAAGAAAACTATATGTGTTAATTAAAAAAGGAAAACAAAAAGAGAAGCCCCACCCATCCGTCTCGAACTCAATCGTGATGAATTTTTCATTCGTTGTCAGATCGAGGGGCGGGGCGTAATTGCAAAATCGGTATTTCCCTATACAAATTTACCATTTTACACATGTTTTAAGTTTCTTGTTGTGAAAGAAAGACTGCGTATATTAGAAAAAAAAGGTAAAATGTGTGCCCCGCCCTATGTCAATTGTGATCATTTTTTATTCGTCGTGAGCTTAATTGGAAAATCCTTATTTCTCTACAAGAAGTAAAAAACACGTTTTTGAGTAACCAAGAATTTTAAGATAACATAAGTACAAATAAACGTCAAATTGTACAGAGAAAGGAAATCAAACACATTTTTAATTTTAGTTACACCACTCTTTTGATGATAAAACACCAATCGCAAACAAGAAAATGTTCGTCACTTTACTCGGAATTTTTATTTATTTGTCTAAAAATATAATATTGCGTAGACTATATCTAATCTCAAGTGTTTTTTATATGCTTTAGGAGTGTCACATTCTAATTATTCCAATACTAGAAAAAATTTCATCTCACTCTCTGCTACAAACAAAAAACCAAAATAATTCAGTATATAATATTTAATATAAATATAAATAATAATAATGATCGCTTATTAATCCAGGGAAATATAAATGTTTATAGAGGGTAGATTCAATAGATATACTTCCAGAAATATATTAAGATGATACATAGTAATTATTTACAAACTTAGTTCACACTGCACAAAAACAGCAGATGGCAACCGTGCATTACAAAACATTTGCTATAAGAGATACGCAGTTTCGAGTTTTGCGGATTAGAAATTATCTACTGAAAATGTTAAACTAAATTATATTTACTTTTCCAGAGAACATTTCTTCAGAATTGTAAAGAAACATATCTTGAACCCTGTTCACTCCGATATTTCAGTTATTATTTATTACCTGCAGCGATGGTTTAAAGTTCGCTTCTCTGTCGGATATAAAGAAGTAAATTTTGTTCTACTTCCTACCTCCAATTCTTGTGTATGTTTGTGGTAACGATGGCTCTGATTTCTTGTCGAAAAAACCAAACGCAAACATGTATTTGGCTATGTTAATCTGCAAAAATCGTTTGAATTTTAAGTTGTGAGTATAGTACTCACCTACATTCGGGTATTCAGAAGATCTTGTGCAAACATAATCGAATCAAGTTGATACAACTTCTTAAGGTTATAAGAAATTTGTTTTAAATATTAGAGAAAGAAAACATAAAAACTGCCTATATGTATAACCCTCATTATAAGTAGGTGTTTGTTTGTAAGGTATTCAGTAGTATAAACAGTTTGGACTGAATCGAAAAATGTACGCTAACAAACAAAAAATTTTGAAAATGTTTACTACAGTCTTAACAGAAAATGCAGTTAGCGTTCTGTGTACCTATACATATATCATTTCGAATCACTAGACAAAGGCAACCTGACATAAATTGTATAATTGAAATCATAAGGATGATTTTTTAATAATAAAATATTTTCGAAAAACAGCAAAGGTGAAGACTGATGATATAGAAAAGGGAAGCCAAAACTTGTATAGAAAAATATTACATACATCTTTTTTACAGTAACTTTCGCTCCTTCCGTTACTAAAAAGTGGTGTATAGAACTATTATTGATGTACAATTGATCTCGGCTCCGGACTCCACAAAGTATTTGACAGTTTTTACAGCGGTATAGAGCCATCGTTATTAGCTAGATGTACTTTAGCTCCGGATTTCACTAAGAATTCGACAATAATTTCATGACCCATTCGAAAGGCTATGTAAAGTGGTGTACGGCCAGTATTGTTGGTACGATTGACTTCAGCTCCCAATTTCACCAAGCACTTGACAGTTTGTAAATGGCCGTTTTGTGATGCTAAGTACAGCGGTGTAAAACCATCGTTATTTCGACTATTTATTTCGGCCCCTGATTTCACTAGGCATTCTACAATTTTTTCATGGCCTTTCAAGCAAGCTTCGTGCAGGGGAATTAAACCGTCTGTATCAGCATGGTTTATTTCGGCACCTGATTTCACTAAGAATTCAACAACTGTTTCATGACCATTTTGAGAAGCTATGTGAAGTGGTGTAAGACCAAAATTCGTGGGAGAATTTATTTCGGCTCCAGATTCCACTAAGTACTTGACAGTTAGTAAATGGCCGTTTTGTGAGGCTGCGTAAAGGGATGTAAAACCGTTGTTATCCTTTTGATTTATGTCAGCTCCTGATTTCACTAAGCATTCAACAATTGTTTCATGGCCGTCAAAGGAAGCAGCGCGAAGCGCGGTATAACCGTCTTTAGCAACGCGATTAACATCGGCACCTGATTTCACTAAGAATTCAACAATTAATTCGTGGCCATTTTGGGTCGCTATATGAAGCGGTGTCGATGCAAGTTTCGTGGGACGATCTATTTCAGCTCCAGATTCCACTAAGTACTTCACAGTTTGTAAATGGCCGTTTTGTGCAGCTAAGTGGAGCGATGTAAAACCGTCCTTAGCCGTTTGATTTATTTCGGCTCCTGATTTCACTAAGTAGTCTACGATGTTTTCACCGCCGTTAATGGAAGCTACCCCAAGTGGGGTTAAACCGTTTTTATCAGGGCGATTGATATTAGCGCCCGACTTCACTAAGTATTCAACAATTAATGCGTGGCCATTGTGAGCAGCTATGTGAAGCGCTGTATTTCCAAGATTGGCGGGACGATCTATTTCAGCTCCAGATTCCACTAAGTACTTGATAGTTTGTAAATGGCCGTCTTGTGAAGCCACGTGAAGGGCTGTAAAGCCATCGTAATTCGCTCGATTTACTTCAGCACCTGATTTCAATAAGAATTCAACAATTAATTCGTGGCCATTTTGAGTGGCTATTTGAAGCGGTGTAGATGCAAGATTCGTCGGACGATCTATTTCAGCTCCAAAATCCACTAAGTACTTGACAGTTTGTAAATGGCCGTGTTGTGCAGCTAAGTAAAGCGATGTAAAACCATCCTTAATGGTTTGATTTATTTCAGCTCCTGATTTCACTAAGCAGACTACGACGTTTTCAACGCCGTTAATGGAAGCTATGGTAAGTGGAGTAAAACCGTTTTTATGAGAGCGATTGATATTAGCGCCTGATTTCACTAAGTATTCAACAATTAATTCGTGGCCATTTTGAATAGCTATGTGAAGCGGTGTAGAACCAAAATTCGTAGGACGATCTATTTCAACTCCAGATTCCACTAAGTACTTGACAGTTTGTAAATGGCCGTTTTGTGCAGCTAAGTAAAGCGGTGTATAACCATCCTTAACCGTTTGATTTATTTCGGCTCCTGATTTCACTAAGCACTCTACGATGTTTTCATGGCCGTTAAGGGAAGCTATGCCAAGTGGGGTAAAACCGTCTTTATGAAGGCGATTGATGTTAGCGCCTGATTTCACTAAGTATTGAACAATTAATTCGTGGCCATTTTGAGTAGCTATGTGAAGCGCTGTAATTCCAAGATACGTGGGACGATCTATTTCAGCTCCAGATTCCACTAAGCACTTGACGGTTTGTAAATGACCGTTTTCTGAAGCTCCGTGAAGGGGTGTAAAGTCATCGTGATTCGCTCGATTTATTTCAGCCCCTAACTTCACTAAGAATTCAACAATTAAATCGTGGCCATTTCGAGCAGCGACGTCAAGCGGTGCACAACAAAGACTGAACGAAGGATTTAATTCCGCTCCGGATTTGACTAGGTACTTGACAATTTGGAAGTGACCGTTTTTTGAAGCTAAGAAAAGGGGTGTAATACCTTCGTGATCTGGACGATTTATTTCGGCCCCTGATTTCAATAAGAATTCAACAATTTTTTCTTGGCCGTTTAAGGAGGCATCGTGAAGCGCGGTACGACCGTATTTATTAGCATGATTTATATCGGCGCCTGATTCCACTAAGTGTTCAACAACTAATTCGTGCCCATTTTGAGAAGCCATGTGAAGCGGTATATATCCACGATTCATGGGACGATTTATTTCAGCTCCAGATTTCACTAAGTACTTGACAATTTGTAAATGTCCATTTTGGGAAGCTAAGTAAAGCGGTGTAAAACCATCGTTATCTGCTCGATTTATCTCGACCCCTGATTTCACTAAGCATTCAACAATTTTTTCATGACCGTTAAAGGAGGCAATACGAAGCGAGCGAACACCGTGCTCGGCAGCGCGATTAACATCGGCACCTGATTTCAGTAAGAATTCCACAATTATTTCGTGGCCATTCTCTGAAGCTATGTCAAGGGGTGTAAAACCATCGCGATCCGCTCGATTTATTTCGGCCCCTGACTTCACTAAGAATTCCACAACTAATTCGTGGCCATTCTGAGTGGCTATGTGAAGCGATGTATATCCAAAATTCGTGGAACGATGTATTTCAGCTCCAGATTCCACTAAGTACTTGGCAGTTTGTAAATGGCCGTTTTCTGAAGCTCTGTGAAGGGGTGTAAAATCATCGTGATTCGCTTGATTTAGTTCAGCGCCTGATTTCACTAAGAATTCAACAATTAATGCGTGGCCATTTTGAGCAGCAGCGTCAAGGGGTGTACAACAATCATTGATGGAAGGATTTAATTCCGCTCCGGATTCCACTAAGTACTCGACAACTTGCAAGTGGCCGTTTGTTGAAGCTAAGAGAAGCGGTGTAATACGAGCATTATTTGGACAATTTATTTCGGCCCCCGATTTCAATAAGAATTCTACAATTTTTTCATGGCCATTTAAAGAAGCATTGTGAAGCGCGGTCGAACCTTGTTTATTAGCGTGATTTATGTTGGCGCCTGACTGCACTAAGAATTCAACAATTATTTCATCGTCATTTTGAGAAGCTACATAAAGTGGTGTGTCGCCATTGTTGTCTGCTCGATTTACTTCGTTGCCTGAATTCACTAAGTATTCAATTATTTGTTTATGTCCTCCTTCGCAAGCTAGAATGAGTGCAGTACTACCGTCGACTTTCGTAGTAAAGTTCGAAAGAGAAGTAAACAATTCAATGATGTCGTCATATCCAAGTAATGCTGAATAATACAAAAGATTTATTCTATCGTTATAGGTGTATGACTGATAGAGTTTTGAGTTTTTTTCCGTTTCTAGTAGTAATTTTAGTTCTACCGCCAAACTTTCACTTCTTTTAGCATATAATAGCGGTGTGATCCCTAGCAGTGAATCATGTTCTGAATTATTGTTTTTAATTTGTAAATACATTACTGCTTCAAGAAATTCTTTACCTTCCGGTTTACCATTAAATCTGGTGCCCTCATCAACAATACATTTGTTACCTTCCTGGATTATTTGCACATATGGGTGCCTCTGTCCCCATGAGCAAATCAAATGTAAAGCACTTCTTCCGCCAATATCTTTACGTGTTAACATTTCTTCATCGTATGTTTTAAGTAAGTCAAAATTTCTGCACAGTACCGCCAGATGAACAGGTGAGTCCTCTGCTAACAACATATCAAAGAAAAACCGTACGTTATTATACTTGTGATCAAAAAATATGTCAGTTGGTATATTTGTAAAATTTTTCGATAAATATGTGGCAACTAAATATTCCGCAAAGGATCCATGAAGAAAGTGTGGGACGTTATTTTGTACTTCGCTTATGATACCAACAGATGCATAGTCATTGCGCGAAAATTTTTTAACCGATTTTTGGTAATTAATGTCTAATCGTTGTAATAAAAATTCGGGATATATTAATTTTAACGCAAGTATTTCGTAGTGTTTTAACATCTTTTGCTTTTCTCGACGAACCATAACTGCCATATGTGGATTTTGAACATCATAATCACTTTTATTTTCGTAGAATATGTTAAATTTTTCTTCGATAAAATTGCTGTATAAGTCAGTTAAACGAAATTTATTGCCCATAAGTTCGAAGTACTTTTCAGTGTTTCGACGAAATAGTTCCGTGAGCATAAATATCTGAAGCGGAATTCCTAATATGTCAACATGTTCGATAATTACAAAGGTAGATTTAATTTTCTGAATGGTGATCTCAGTTTCGCCTTCAGATCTGACAAATTTGAGTCGTTGTTTTATGTAATTTTGTTGTTCTTTATCGCTAAATTGTGTTAAGCCAATTGAAAGGACATTGAATTTTTTCTCTAGAAATGTTTGGAGGTGTTTTCTACTAGTTACCCACTGAACGAAACCTCTTTTTGATAGCTGAAGTATTATATCTGAAACAACATCTAAATATTCGTTTAAAATTTCATCTAGTCCATCCCAAACATAAACAATACGATTTTGTTTTAAACACATTTTGAAAAAACTTTGATCTAATTTTTTGAGTGAGCCGTATTTTTCGTTGATTATAAATCTTTCAAACCAAGTTAGGTAGTTTGATCCTTGACTTAAATTAAAAGATTTAAAAAATAAATGAACATCTTTGGGATAAATTGTAACCGTCCAATTTTGCGATGGACATTTATTTTTGAAACTTTTCATCAACTCAGATTTACCCATTCCCGGATCACTAGTTATCAAATTGATGTTATTTTCCAATTGAGAAGACCACAAGAAGTTTTCATGCGTAAAAGAGCTGTTAGATACTTTGTAATTTTCTAAGTCACTCATATCACCTTTGCTTTGAATCCATTGCAAATGTCCGTTGCTTGCTACTTTAAAATAGTGAAATCTGTGCATTTTTGAATTATCTGTATATATTTGTTTTAACTTAGATTCGCAAAGTTTACTATTACTAATGTACATTTTATTACGAAAATCTGTTTTATCAAAACTGACGTTAAACGCGCTTTTGTTGCTAACTGTATTTTCTGTTGAACCTTCATCGTTCTCACATTGTTTTTTTGGAAAATTATCTACATTAATTAGCTTGTACTTTTTAACTTTATCCTTTACTTTATCAAAATTATCCGCATATTGTAAAATGATAATAGTGTTTTCATGTACTTTTTCTAAATAATTAATATCTATAATATTTTGCGATAAATGACGTTCGATATAAGGCTGCGAGAGTATTTCTTTCTCTCCGTCTATAAAGCATGGTCCGTTTAGCATTCCCATCAAATCAGACGTCGTCACATTTTCCAGAAATTTTTCAGTTTTTCTAAAAGCTGCCATTAAGTTAAATTCTTCCTTTCCTTGAATAGAGACAGTAAAAGTTTCCATTATTTTTTGGTAAAACTCCCCCTTCAAGCTCAGGTTTGATAGATTTTGGAATAACGAATAGTGTGTCATCCATTCCTCTTTCATTCCGTCACCAAGCACAACGAACTTTAGATCTTCACACAATTTGACGGCTTTTTCAAAATTTTTGAAATCACGTATTATTAGAGGACATTTATCCATCAACCACAGCAACTGCGAAAATAACTTTGAGTTTAATTTCTCAACGTCGTTCGCATTAATATCGTCAACTGACAGTTGGTAGTTTATTCTTATTCTGTTTATTTCTTCAATGTCAATATTTTGTTTTCCAACATCACCCCACAAATGTTTAGCAGTTTCACAAGAATTCTCATCAACTAATGTGATAGTGAACATGGATATAGCATCTCGAAGTATTTTCATCTGGTCATTAACTGCACCAAAACATAACGACTCAATATGAGGTGACAAAATCTCCAGCGCTATAGCACGTTTCATCCATTTCTTGTTCAGTTTCTCTTTTTCTCCTTCTCTCATATTCCACTCCGATATTATTTTGTAGTATTGATCGAAATCCTTTTCATTCAAAGAGTACATTGTTCTAAACTTTTCAATTGTTGATTGTCTCAGTGCATCAAAATTTTCTTGATTAGTATAAAGAAAAAATTTGGAAAAAAATGTTCGATACTCTTGAATTTCGGAAATATGTTCCATAGTCCATGCATCTTCTACGATTTCAAATTTGTAGACAAAATTTACGTTTTTTGAAATTGCGAAGTGGGCAGATGAACTACATACTTTAACAGGTCGAACATAAAACTTCTGCCCTTGTAGCTGAAACTTTGCGTCTTCCTTAGCACCAAATGAACGATTCGTAAAAATTATAAATTCTTGTACCACATTCTTTAGTTGTTGGAAAGATTCAAAATATTTGCTTAAACTAAAATTTCCCTTTGCAGATTTCAGATGCTCCGAGGATAATGTTTTTCGATCACTGTGTTTTAACTGCATTGCTTTTACCACGACATTTTGATGCGATTCAATTTTGATGACTACATCATCGAACGCACCGAAATTGTTATCGTTTGACGTTATGTGGAAGTTGTTTATGAGATCATCGCTTAACATTTGTAAAGCGATGTTGGCTATAGCAATGTTCTCGTATTCTCTTCCTTTGTCAGTTGTTCCCGCTCGTTTTTGAAATATCTGGAAATATATTATACGTTCAATGAAATAGGATACTCTTTTTGTAGCCTAAAATAAATTTTATCGTACAGTAATAGGTTTTGGGGTACTTTATACAACATTCTCCACTCACTTATATTATACAATTTCTCTCGCTTATAATATAAAATACGGGAACGATTATTATTCAGTTGATTCCGTCAGCCAGGAGTTCAATAAACGAATTTAGTCAAGTTGCGCCGGAGTTATTTTGAACATAAACGCTGTTCAGTTAATCGTGTTTTGAGTCATTAAGAAATAAATATTTGAGTTTTACCCACGCCGATTTTATTCACCGATCACCGTAACAATACTATTACCTTGTGTGTAAAAGATCATTTCTGCTAAAGCAATTAATATAATTAACTGTTTTAATTTGATACATAAATTTTTGTGAAACTAACAATCTTAAAAGTAAAAATAAAATAACAAAATACTCACCTCTGCACTATCCATTTTGCAGGTAATGAACATAAAAAAAACGTCTATGAAACTGTGCACTGAACTGATTGCAATTGAGTAATTTATTTGATGTTTGTTAAGTGTTACCACAAAAGACTAACCACTTCTTTTGTGATAACCACATAATGATTTAAAAATAAATTTAAGTTTCCTGTTACACAGATAAAACGAATTTTTCTGAATCATGTTTTTACGTTTTATTACATAAGTGATTTAATATTTTGTTTTTATGTTTTGATATTTTTAAGACTAGGTAGCACCAAAATTTTGCGGGAAAAATATATTCTTTATATTGTCTAATTTACACATCGATGATAAACACTCTTTGTTAAAATAAAAAAATGCAAGTAACATTTCATTATTAGTTCAGTTTACCTGTCTGATACGAACATAAATATAAATAATAATAATAATCGTATATTAACCTAGTAGAAAATAAATTTTTATAGAGTGTAGAAAAATACATTCTATCAATAGATTATACATATTAAAATGATACATAGTAATTATTTACAGATTTATTAGTAAATAACTTGATACCGTCACAGATGCTGTTATAATTCTTTAACATATTAATAACCGTGGCATGCATTTGTAGAAGGTATATCATAGTGAAAGTGAATAGACAATTAAAGAAGATTTTATAAATCTCGACGTGGAAACTTAAAGTTAATTTGTGTCATCACATATCTAATAAATTAATTTAAATTACTTGGACGAACTTTCCTCACTCTTGAGTACAACTCCAGCTTTTTCGAAAATCATTTGATTTTGCGAATATTTAATTTTTTTTATGATGACCCTTATGCGTTAAAATAAAGATATGTATGTAATGTAAAATGTTAAATTAAAGGTAAAGAAGCGTGCTACACGTTTGTTGAAAGTGACTTTTTCCAATACAAAATTTTGTGATGACGTCATCAACATTTTTGCGTTGACGTCATCAACATTTTTGCGATGATCGGATGCAGTCCTCTATTGCGAAATTTTAGGGAAAATAGAGCGAGTCGTCCTTAACTTAATTAATACAATAATTTGCATCACTCATTCATTTTTCTGAGTCATCCTGTATTAATAACTCTAAAACCTATGCATCTATTATTGGTAAACCACAGCAATAAAGTCATAATATATTGCACATTTTAAATAGAATTTATTCGGAAAAATTTTGACAGGGGATAAACATATAAATTTTGAATAACGATTTACTTAACAATCGTTTATTAGCTCAGCAAAAAATAAATATTAATGGAGGATAGATATATACAATAGATATAAATACAAAATTAGTTAATATTAATAAGTACATATAAAAATGATACATAGTAAATTATTTATAGACTTATAGTGAATAACTCGACACTGTTACAGATGTTGTTATAATAATAAATATAATCTGGACCTGAACCCTCACATATCTAATAAATTAACTTAAATTACAATATTAAAATTCGAAACAAAGTTGTTCAGCAGATATCTACCAGTCCTCGTCCTTGAAGTAGTTTTAGTTACATTAGTTTCTTTATTCCCCAAACAGCTGCGGCTTAAGGGATTAGCCTTGTTTTGAAGAAACCCCCTGTAATTTAAAAATGATTATTATAATTCATAAAAACGATATTCACGCATGTGTTTGCATCTTTTCCATTTTTTCATTTCGAAAATCTCGTAAGATTTTGAACGGAGAAATATATGGAATAATCATGGTGTACACTGTACATACAAGAAAAATAAAAGCTCTGTTCAAAAAAACACTTGAAATTTTAATGATCAGTGGATTCGGACTGTTCAAAAACGACGGATGACAATCGTGCATTAGAAAACATGAAAACATTTGCTATATTATCCGTTCACGATCTTTATAGTTATAGTAGGGTTGGCCATGAACTTTTTTCGTTAGGTTATGTTTTATTAAATTAAAGGTTAAAAAATATGCCAGAAATATAAACATTGTTGCCGATACTTTTAGTTTCCAGTAGCAATGACCAAGTTAACGGTATCCATTTCTTAGAAAGCATAAAACTTTACGTTATTTAAAACAGTTATTCGGCTTTTTGTAAGTGTTTATTTCATATGTAAGGAACAAAAACTAAAATTTCACTTAAACATTGTTTTTATATGAATGGGGGTTCTACATACGACTATTGTCGCATGCCACATTGAGCATCTCATCTTTAATTCTCAACCATCAGTTCGTTCTGCTCGCCCACTCTTCTTAGAAATGGAAATTTCGACCTTTGTGAACAGCCTATTTCCATATTTTCCAACTTCTTTTTTCACTTTTCTAAGATTACTAAAAGGGCTGGTAAAAGACAACAACCTTGTTCTAGTGCTTTGATGGGTTTAGTTCTTCTGAAACATTTTTCCAGCCTTAAATTGAATGATTTATCTATACAGCTAGTACTAATGCTGACGCAAGTGCTCTTTATTTGCTTTTACATAAATGGTGCACGCTTAATACCATGTCACTAAACTCAGACAAATGCTTTGCAATAAATTTTAGTAGGAAACTCTCTTCATCAATTCCTAAATATATGCTCAATAACATAAATTTGGCTATGAAGCCGGTAGTTAAAGACCTAGGTATTCTACTTGATAACAAACTTTCGTTTAAACTTTCGTTTAGATCGCACTATGACTTCATTGTTAACAAAGCAAATCGATCACTGGGTGCAGTTAAAAGACATTGCAGAGGCTTTCGGAATATCGCAACGCTCTCGACCTTATATGTGTCTAATGTAAGATCTATTCTCGAATACGGTTGCTTAATATGGTCTCCATATTATCGCACACATGAGGGGAGAATCGAATCTGTGCAAATTAAATTTATTAACTTCATAAAAAGTAGACTACCTTCATTTGTACGCCAAGATATTGCCCTATGCAGGGACTACCTCGGCTTCTCTTTGCTAAAGAGAAGGAGAGAATTTTTTGCTCTATGCTTTATGTACAAGTTATTCAACAATTTGATTGATTCACAGGACATATTAGGCAACATTCAGCTGTATGTCCCTCAATATCCTACTAGGAATATGCCTGTATTTAAGATTGCATCCGCCAAAACCAACTATGCACTTAACTGCCCGTTAAACGCAATATGCCATGCATGTAATAAGTATGGTGACAAATTAGATTTTTTTTCTGGTAAGTCATACGCTTCCTTTAAGTTCCAAGCAAGAAGACTCATAATTAATTCGAACTAGTAATTAAGTCATAAGATAAGTCATTTGTAATGGTTGTTTTATATTTGTCTTAAGTGTTTTTGTGTACCCATCTGGAGTGTTGTATACTGTTTTATATTTCTTAATATTTTTGTACGCTGGTAATATCTTATTATTTATTGTATTATTTTATTTGTACTAATGGAAAGTTCTATTCCGTAAATAAACTACTTACTTACTTTACTAAGTACTTCCAAACGCTTATTAATAAGAACGTTACAATACGCCTTCTCGAGGTTCATGAAGAGTTAAAAAAAAAAATGAAAATGCTTAAAATTTGGTGCAAAGTAACAACGTGGATGATCTAACTGAAATTATACTTATTTTGTTGTACGTCAGGTAGTTTTTCACATACTACCTTGGTAAATTTAGAACGAAAGATGCGTAAAAATATTACCCTCGACAAGCTACAATTCACTCCATTTCCATTATTTCGCTTTGAAAATCTGTATCATCACCGTCATTTTCAAATTCAAATTCTGAACTAGATTCACCTAGCGAAATAATGAAAGGAGGTATAGATTCGTACGAAAGATTTCCCATATTTTTTGCCAATCTGCCAAAATAAGTTTTTCACAATGTTTACAAAAATTTTGCCACATGCTTGGAGTACATTTAGAAAGCGCCTCAAGCCATAAATTCTCCACCCTATTTTTTAATGAAGGTTGAGAATTTATATGCTTGTTGTAATAGTTCTTACAAAATCCCCACGCCATTTCAATTGGATTATAATGACAATGGTATGGAGGTAATCTAAGAAATTCATGGCCACTTTCTCTTAATGTCTCGTCTAACAAATATATTTTTTTTCTACTGAAGGTAGAAGGGTTTAATTAAATCTCAGAACTGTTTCTTCGAAAATTTTTTGTCAAATTCAACACTATGTTTAAAGAGCCATTCCTGCATTTCACATTTTTTACTAGAAAAAGTGGGTGGTTTATCCAACTGAACTGAATGATACGGTCTAAAACCACCATTTTTGGTTCAACTTTGCCAAAGCAGGAATGAGCTGATTAACCACCCAATTTTGAAAAATTGTCCCGTCCATCGTTTTATGATAATCTCTATCGTTATTTTTTGAATTTAAAAAATTGTTACAACCATCCAAGAACCCCGTTGAACAACCCACGAGGAGAATAGTAAACCTTGATCCTTCACTTTTAATTTTGGTGGGATTGATTTTAGATCAGTATCGTGCACCCAGCGACGAATGGACGAACCATTTTGATAGATCCATGTTTCATCCAAATTCAGGAAAGTCAAATTTTCACAAGAATTTCGAAACTGTAAATATGTTCTCAAAAAAGAAATTTTGGCTGGAACGACATGTTTTTGTTCACATAGAATTTTGCGACCATTTACTTCCCTGTATAATTATATAATGTTCCCTAGAATATCCAAAAGAGTATCTACAATGAAATATTCGTTTTTTTCATTAAGTTGCCAAATTTGTCGTTGCAGGTCTTTCCGAAACATATAATTTGTACATAAATCCGTTGGTTTTCGCTTGCCAGATAGTGATGTTTTTAAATTTTGGTCCCCTGTTGATAAAATTTTCACCACAGTTGATTTCCCACCTATGAGAAAAAAAATTAAAAAATATTTTACAGCGTATTTTTACATTGCAGAAAATATGTTCGAGACCCTCATAGTTACTTCTTCGAAAGACAGATCGGGCCTGTCTTTTCGAAACTGCAAAAAACATCTTTTTATTACAATTTTTTGTTGCAGTAAAACTATTTTAGGCATTTTCTTTTTAAATAATGTCGCAAATTATCTATGCTGACAAAATTAAGAGATTTGTTTGCTTGATTAAAAAATTGCGTCTAATAATTCTGATCTAATAAATGAAGTAGAAAAGTGGCAATCCAGCTCGAAGCAAACGTCAATCAGACTACTGACACACAAAAAACGAAATCATAGATCGTGAATGGATAATAGGAGTACACACTTTAGAGTTTTACAGTTTGGAATTTATCTACAGAAATGCAAAAATTAAACAGACTAAATTGTTTTTACTTTTCTAGAGAACACTCTAAATATTTCTTCAGAATTATAAAGGGACGCATCCTGAACCCATTTCACTGTGAATGTTTCAGTTATTATTATTAAGTACCTGCAGCGATGATTTAAACTCCTCTTGTCTGTCGGTTATAAAGACGTAAATTTCCTGGTACGTCCTGCTTCTAATTCTTGTGTTTTAAAAGTTTCTGGTAACCATGGCTCTGATCAGGATTCTGCATTTGTTGACGACAAACAAACGCAAATATGTAATTGACAATGTTAATCTGCAACAATTGGTTTCAATTTTAAATTGTCAGCGAAGTATAGAAGCACTCACCTATAGCACACATTCGGGTATTGAGAAGAGCATCCTCTTGTGCATACATGATAGAATAATGTTGGATGGAATACCTTAAGGTTATTAGAAATTCGCTCTAAATACACTAGTTTACAAATTTAAACTTTTTTTCGTATCCAAAAATAAAAAAAATATTTTTTACTTCTAAATTACTTACTGATAACAAATCCAAAAACGGATTATCCTTATCACGTCAGGTTTTTTCATAAATCAAAAATAATGAACTTTGCTCTTACCTCCACGTTAGTGTCAAACTGATTCATGTTAATACATCATTGTCACATAAAAAATGTTTTCGAGATCGTGCAAAGTAAGTGCAAATCAGTTTTGTTACGTTTATGGTAAAATTATAGTACCTAAAGCAAGACCCGTTCAAATATGCTTAAAAAGAAGGTAACAAGGATTTTGGGACGAAAATGTGTTACTGTTGGTCTATTATAAGGGAAACTGTCAGTACTGTCAATAAAAGAAAAGCTACTGTTTATAATTTTTAATTTTCAGTCATAATGTTTATAATATATACTGGGTGTTGCTTTTATTTGATACAACCCCTGTAACTTCTTTATTCTTAAAGATAAACCTGTATTTCTTTGAGCAAATTTGTATCATTTTAAAAGATCTTTGTGAGGCCAACCTCACATTTTTATTATCACTTCCCGTCGAAAAATCAAAAGCAACCAATTATTCTAAAATAAATACTTGAAAAATTTTAAATAAAACATTGATGACAATCTAGTAGCTTGAAAAATTAACACTCATGTTATTTATTTACGTAAATGATCTTTTAAAATGATACAAATTTGCTCAAAGAACTATATGTTCATATATATTTAAAAATAAAAATTTTACAAGAGTTGTATAAAAGAAAAAAAATACGGGGTATGTTTATATAAATATTTCAAAAACCTGACGTTATAGATTTTTTCTGCTTTCAGATTTGAATTTCCCGAACCCAAATCCTTTAGATTCAGCTATTTTTGTCTTTGGATATAAAACCTTGTAAACTAGTGATATTAGACAAAGAAAACAAAAACTGCTTATAACTTCAGCATACTTAAGTGAATCTTTGTTTGTAAGGTACAATATAAACAATTTGGACTGAATCGAAAAATATACGCTAAAAAATAGAAAATATTGAAAATAATTGCTATAAACTTAACCGAAAATGCAGTTAGAGTTTTTTCTTTTTTTCTTTTCGAATCACTAGACAAATGCAACCTGACATAAATTATATACTTAATTCAAAATCATGAAGCTGATTTTTACTTCCCGAGCGTAAGCGAATCCCTTGGACGAATAGCCACTTTTTTTTAGAAAATAAAATATTTTAGAGGAAAGCAAAGGTGAAGAGCGATGATATATTTAGGTTTATGTTCATTTTAATCCAATAATCCAAAAAATTATTAAAAAATAAATAAATTTGGTTGATCACGTTTGCATGATACATTTTAGTTTTTATAGGGTTGTAGCACCATCGTTATTAGCTGGCTTTATTTCGGCTCCGGATTTCACTAACAATTTAACAATATTTTCGTGACCCATTTGAGAAGCTACATAAAGTGGTGTACAGCCAGTATTATTAGTAAGATTGACTTCGGCTCCTGATTCCACTAAGTATTTGACAGTTTGTAAGTGGCCTTTTTGTGAAGCTATGCAAAGCGGTGTAAAACCATCATTATCTGCTCGATTTATTTCGGCCCCTGTCTTCACCAAGAATTCTACAATTAAATCGTGGCCATTTGCACAAGCTAGGTGAAGCGGTGTATGACCAAGATTCGTCGGATGATCTATTTCGGCTCCCGATTTCACTAAGTACTTAACAGTTTCCAAATGGCCGTTGTGCGAAGCTGCGTAAAGAGGTGTAAAACCGTTGTCATCTGTTCGATTTATGTCGGCCCCCGATTTCACTAAGAATTCGACAATTAATTCATGGCCCTTTGCAGAAGCTATGTGCAGTGGTGCAATTCCGAGATTTGTGGAACGATCAATTTCAGCTCCGGATTTCGCTAAGTACTTGACAGTTTGTAAATGGCCTTTTTGTGAAGCCATGAACAACGATGTGAAACCGTCGTTATTTGCTCGATTTATCTCGGACCCTGATTTCACTAAGTATTCAACGATTTTTTCATGGCCATTCATAGAAGCTTTGTGAAGGGCGATAAAACCGTTTGTATTAGCATGGTCGATTCCGGCGCCTGATTTCACTAAAAATTCGACAATTATGGCGTGGCCATTTTGCGAAGCTATGTGAAGCGGTATAAGATCAAGACTTGCCGGAGGATCTATTTCGGCTCCCGATTTCACTAAATACTTGACAGTTTCTAAGTGGCCGTTCTGTGAAGCTGCGTAAAGGGGTGTAAAACCGTCGTTGTCAGTTCGATTTATCTCGGACCCTGATTCCACCAAGAATTCAACAATTAATTCGTGGCCATTTTCAGAAGCTACGTGAAGCGGTTCAATTCCTAAATTTGTGGGGCGATCTATTTCAGCTCCGGATTTCGCCAAGCACTTGACGGTTTCAAAGTGACCGTTTAGTGAAGCTACGAACAGCGGTGTAAAACCATGGTTATTTGCTCGATTTGTCTCGGCCCCTGATTTCACTAGGCATTCAACAATTTTTTGATAGCCATTAAAGGAAGCGGAAAGAAGCGCCGTTAAACCGTTTTCGGCAGCGCGATTGATATTGGCGCCTGACTTCACTAAGAATTCAACAATTAATTCGTGGTCACTTTGAGAAGCCGTGTGAAGCGGTATGCATCCAAGATTCGTGGAACGGTCTATTTCAGCTCCAGATTCCACTAAGATTTTGACAGTTTGTAAATGGCCATTTTGTGAAGCTAAATAAAGCGGAGTAAAACCATCGTTATCTGGACTATTTATTTCGGCCCCTGATTTTACTAAGCATTCTACAATTTTTTCATGACCGTTTGAAGACGCTTTGTGAAGGGCGATAGAACCGTTGTTATCAGCGTGATTGACATCGGAGCCTGATTTCACCAAGAACTCAGCAATTAATTCGTGGCCATTTTGAGAAGCCGTGTGAAGCGGTATAGATCCAAGATTCGTGGGAGGATCTACTTCAGCTCCACAGTTCACTAAGCACTTGACAATTTGTAAATGCCCGTTTTGGGAAGCTAAGTAAAGTGGTTTAAAACCATCGTTATTTGCTCGATTAATCTCGACCCCTGATTTCACTAAGCATTCTACAACTTTTTCATGCCCGTTCAAGGAAGCTCTACCAAGCGGAGTTAAACCGTTTTTATTGGCGCAATTCATATCAGCGCCTGATTTCACTAAGAATTCAACAATTATTTCGTGACCCATTTGAGAGGCTATGTAAAGTGGTGAACACCCAGCATTGTTGAGCTGATTGACTTCGGCGCCTGAATTTACTAAGTACTTGACAGTTTGCAAGTGGCCGTTTTGTGAAGCTAAGTAAAGCGGTGTAAAACCATCATCATCTGGACGATTTATTTCGGCTCCTGTTTCCACTAAACATTCTACAATTTGGTCATGGCCGTTCAGAGAAGCGTTATGAAGCACGGTAAAACCACTCTTATTAGCATGATTGATATCGGCACCTGATTTTATTAGAAATTCAAGAATTATTGCGTGGCCATTTTGAGAAGCGGCGTCAAGCGGTGTACAACAAACACACTTGGAAAGATTTAATTCCGCCCCGGATTTAACTAAGTACTTGACAATTTGTAAGTGGCCGTTTTTTGAAGCTAAGAAAAGCGGTGTCAAACCACGGTTATCTGGACGATTTATTTCGGCCCCTGATTTCACTAAGCATTCTACAATGTTTTCATGGCCTTTCATGGAAGCGCTATGCAAGGCGGTAAAGCCTTCCGTATTGTCATGATTGATATTCGCTCCTGAATTCATTAAGAAATCAACAACAACTTCGTGACCATTTTGAGAAGCAACTTCAAGTGGTGCACAATTAGAGGAACAATTTACTTCTGCGCCGGATTTCACTAAACATTTGACACTTTGTAAGTGGCCGCTTCCTGCAGCTAAATAAAGCGGTGTAACACCATAAGTACCTGCTCGATTTATTTGGGCTCCTGCTTTCACTAAGCATTCTAAAATTTTATCATGGCCCTTAAAAGAAGCTGTATCAAGTGCGGTAAAACCGTTTTTGTTAGCGTGATTGATATCGGCGCTTGATTTCACTAAGTATTTCACAATTTTTTCATGACCGTATAAGGTAGCCGTACCCAGCGCAGTAAAACCATCTTTATCAGCGTGATTGACATCGGCGCCTGATTTCATCAAGAATTCAACAATTACTTCGTGGCCGTTTTGTGACGCTCCGTAAAGGGGTGTGGAGCCGTCGTTATTTGGACGATTTATTTCCGCTCCTGATTTCACTAAGCACTCTACAATTTTTTCATGGCCTGTAATAGAAGCAATGTAAAGTGCAGTAAAACCGTTTTTCGTGGCTTGATTGATATTGGCACCTGATTTCACTAAATATTCAACTATTAATTCGTGGCCATTTTGTGAAGCTACGTAAAGCGGTGTAAAGCCTTCGTCACTTTCTCGATTTATTTCGGCGCCTGATTTCACTAAGTATTCCACAACTTTTTTGTGGCCGTTCATGGACGCCGTACTAAGCGCGGTAAAACCATTTTCACTAGCGTGATTGATATCGGCGCCGGCTTTCACTAGATATTCAACAATTGCTTCGCGACCATTTTTCGAAGCGACATAAAGCGGTGTAAAGCCATGGTCGTCTGCTCGATTTATTTCAGCCCCTGATTCCACTAAGTTTTCCACAATTTTTTCGTGGCCGTGTACTGAAGCGTTATGAAGGGCGGTACGACCGTTTGTGTTAGCATGATTGATATCAGCACCTGATTTCATTAAGAAATCAACAATCATTTCGTGACCCATTTGGGAGGCTATGTAAAGAGGTGAATACCCAGTATTGAGATATCGATTGACTTCGGCTCCTGATTTTACTAAGTACTTGACAGTTTCCAAGTGGCCGTTTTGTGAAGCTAGATAAAGTGGTGTAGTACCATTGTTATCTGGACGATTTATTTCTGCCCCTGCTTTCACTAAACGTTCTACAATTTTTTCATGGCCGTTCAAGGCAGCGTTGTGAAGTACGGTAGAACCGCTTTTATTAGCGTGATTGATATCGGCACCTGATTTTATTAAATAGTCAAGAACTATTGCGTGACCATTGTGAGAAGCTGCGTCAAGCGGGCCGCAACAAGTACAGACGGAACGATTTAAGTCCGCACCGGATTTTACTAAGTACTGGACAATTTGTAAGTGGCCGTTTTTTGAGGCTAAAAAAGACGGTGTGAAACCATCGTTATCTAGACGATTTATTTCGGCCCCTGATTTAACTAAACATTCTACAATTTTTTCATAACCGTTCAAAGAGGCACTGTGAAGCGCGGTAGAACCACTTTTGTTAGCATGATTGACATCGGCGCATGATTTCACTAAAAATTCAACAATCATGTGGTGGCCATTCTGAGAAGCTACATAAAGTGGGGTATTTCCACTGTTGTCTGCTTGATTTATTTCGTTGCCTGAATTCACTAAGTATTCAATAATTTTTTTGTATCCTCCTGCGCAAGCTAGGATGAGTGGAGTAGCACCGTTAGATTTTGTAATAAGATTAATGTCAAAATGATGTGATTTTTGAGAACTAAACAATTCAATGATGTCGTCATATCCAAGCAAAGCCGAGTAATACAAAAGATTTATTCTATCATTATAGGTGTATGACTGATAGAGTTCTGAATTTTTTTCTGTTTCTAATAGTAATTTTAGTTCTACCGCTAGAGTTTCGCTTTTATTAGCATATAATAGCGGTGTTAACCCTAGTAATGAATCATTTACTGAATTATTGTTTTTACTTTGTAAATACATTAGTGTTTCAAGAAATTCTTTACTTTCTGGTTTACCATTAAAACTGGTACCCTCATCAACAATATATTTGTTTCTTTCGTGGATTACTTGAACATGGGGATGCCTCTGTCCCCATGAGCAAATCAAATGTAAAGCACTTCTTCCGCCATCATCTTTGAGTGTTAATAGTTCTTCATCGTATGTTTTAAGTAAGTCAAAATTTTTGTACAATACCGCCAGATGAACAGGTGAGTTCTCTGCTAACAACATATCAAAGAAAAACCGTACATTATTATACTTCTGATCAAAAAATATGTCAGTCGGTATATTTGCAAAATTTTTCGATAAGTACGTGGCAACTAAATATTCTGCAAAGGATCCATGAAGAAAGTGTGGGACGTTATTTTGTACTTCGGTTATGATACCAACAGACGCATAGTCATTGCGCGAAAATTTTTTGACCGATTTTTGGTAATTAATGTATAATCGTTCTAATACAAATTCGGGATATATTAGTTTTAACGCAAGTATTTCGTAGTGTTTTAACATCTTCTGCTTTTCTCGACGAACCATAACTACCATATGTGGATTTTGAAGATCATAAGCACTTTTATTTTCGTAGAAGATGTTAAATTTTTCGTCAATAAAATTGCGGTATAAGTCCGTTAAACGAAATTTATTGTTTATAAGTTCCAAGTACTTTTCGTTGTTTCGACGAAATAGTTCCGTGAGCATAAATATCTGAAGCGGAATTCCTAATATGTCAACATGTTCGATAATTACAAAGGTAGATTTAATTTTCTGAATAGTGATCTCAATTTCGACTTCAGAACTGACAAATTTGAGTCGCTGTTTTATGTAATTTTGTTGTTCTTTATCGCTAAATTGAGTTAAGCCAATTGAGAGGACATTGAATTTTTTCTCTAGAAATGTTTGGAGGTGTTTTCTACTAGTTACCCACTGAACGAAACCTCTTTTTGATAGCTGAAGTATTATATCTGAAACAACATCTAAATATTCCTTTAAAATTTCATCTAGTCCATCCCAAACATACACAACACGGTTTTGTTTTAAACACATTTCGAAAAAACTTTGGTCTAATTTTTTGAGTGGGCCGTATTTTTCGTTGACTATAAATCTTTCAAACCAAGTTAGGTAGTTTGATCCTTGACTTAATTTAAAAGATTTAAAAAATAAATGGACATCTTTAGGATAAATTGTAACCGTCCAATTTTGCGATGGACATTTATTTTTGAAACTTTTCATCAATTCAGATTTACCCATTCCCGGATCACTAGTTATCAAATTTATGTTATTTTCCAATTGAGAAGACCACAGGGAGTTTTCATGCGTAAAAGAGCAGTTAGATACTTTGTAATTTTCTAAGTCACTCATATCACCTTTGCTTTGAATCCATTGCAAATGTCCGTTGTTTGCGACTTTGAAATAGTGAAACCTGTGCATTTTTGAATTATCCGTATATATTTGTTTTAACTTAGATTCGCGAAGTTTTTTATTACTGATGTACATTTTATTACGAAAATCTGTATTTTCAAAACTGTCGTTAAACGCGCTTTCATTACTAACTACATTTTCTGTTATGCCTTCATCGTTCTCATTTTGTTTTTTGGGAAAATCGTCAACATTAATTAGTTTGTATTTTTTAAGTTTATCCTTTACTTTATCAAAATTATCCGCGTATTGTAAAATGTTAACAGTGTTTTCATGTACTTTTTCTAAATAATTAATATCTATAACATTTTGCGATAAATGACGTTCGATATAAGGTTCAGACAGTATTTCTTTCTCTCCGTCTATAAAGCATGGTCCGTTTAGCATTCCCATCAAATCAGACGTCGTCACATTTTCCAGAAATTTTTCAGTTTTTCCAAAAGCTGCCATTAAGCTAAATTCTTCCTTTCCTTGAATAGAGACAGTAAAAGTTTCCATTACTTTTTGGTAAAAGTCCCCCTTCAAGCTCAGGTTTGATAGATTTTGGAATAACGAATAGTGTGTCATCCATTCCTCTTTCATTCCGTCACCAAGCACAACGAACTTTAGATCTTCACACAATTTGACGGCTTTTTCAAAATTTTTAAACTCACGTATTATTAAAGGACATTTATCCATCAACCACAGCAACTGCGAAAATAACTTTGAGTTTAATTTCTCAACGTCGTTAGCATTAATATCGTCAACTGACAGTTGGTAGTTTATTCTTATTCTGTTTATATCTTCAATGTCAATATTTTGTTTTGCAACATCACCCCACAAAATTTTAGCATTTTCACTTGAATTTTCTTCAACTAATGTAATAGTGAACATGGATATAGCATCTCGAAATATTTTCATCTTGTCATTAACGGCATCAAAACATAACGGCTCAATATGAGGTGACAAAATCTCCAGCGCGATAGCACGTTTCATCCATCTCTTGTTCAATTTTTCTTTGTCTCCTTCTCTCATATTCCATTCCGATATTATTTTGTAGTATTGATCGAAATCCTTTTCTTTCAAAGAATACGTTGTTCTAAATTTTTCAATTGTTGATTGTCTCAGTGTGTCAAAACTTTCTTGATTAGTATAAAGAAACAATTTCGAAAAAAATGTTTGATACTCTTGAATTTCGGAGATATGTTCTGTAGTCCATGCATCTTCTACGATTTCAAATTTGTAGATATAATTTACGTTTTTTGAAATTGCGAAGTGGTCATGTGAACTGCACACTCTAACAGGTCGAACATAAAACTTCTGTCCTTGTAGCTGAAACTTTGCGTCTTCCTTAACACCAAATGAACGATTCGTAAAAATTATAAATTCTTGTACTACATTCTTTAGTTGTTGGAAAGAGTCAAAATATTTGCCTAAACTAAAGTCTCCCTTTGCGGATTTCAGATGCTCCGAGGATAATGTTTTTCGATCACTGTGTTTTAACTGCATTGCTTTTACCACGACATTTTGATGCGACTCGATTTTGATGACTACATCATCAAATGCACCGAAGTTGTTATCATTTGACGATATCTGGAAGTTGCTTATGAGATCATCGCTTACCATTTGTAAAACGATGTTGGCTATAGCAATGTTTTCGTATTCTTTCCCTTTGTCGGTTGTTCCGCTTCGTTTTTTAAACATCTGGAAATGTATTATAAGTCCAATGAAATTTTTATTTCTGTTTAATAGCAAATTATTATTATTAACTGTTTTAGTTTGATAAATTAATTTTGATGGAATAGAGTAAAAGAACAATCACAAATCGATAATCTTAAAGCTATAAATAAAATAATACACTCACCTCTGTATCATCCATTTTTCAGGTGATGAATACAAAAAAACTTTAATGAAATTATACACTGAACTGATTGCAATTGAATAATTTAGTTGTTGTGTGTTAAATGTTAGCAAAAAGACTAACCACTTCTTGTGTGATAAGATAAGATATAACAATGTAATAATTTAAAAATATATTTGAGTTTCCTGTTACGCGGATAAAAGTGAATTTGTCTGAAGCGTGTTTTTAGGTTTATAAAACCGTTGAGAATGATTCCATGAGTGTTTAAAAAAAAAACAAGATCTGAGCATCAAATTATTACATTTATCTCAGAAAATATCAAACGGTCTATTTTGAGACTCTTATATTGATGGACTATAAAATATTCATTAAAATTTTACTTTTTCGTTGCCAGATGACATCCTTTTTACACATCGATAGTAAACACTCTTTATTAAAATAAATTAATGCAAGGAAATCGTACACATAAAGAAATAAAACAAATAAGTTAGACGTCATTATTATTTAACATTATTCTGTGTATTATAGCAATGAGTTATTTTTTAAAATCTGAAGGTGGACGCTTGCCGTTCCTCGCCTTGAGCGTGTTTTAGCATAATTTTCGTGACTTCCTGTGGCTAGTTGGTAACCAATGCCTTCCTGAAGATAAGCATACAGACATTTCAGAAGATCCTTGGACGACGTGGTGGAAAGATCCAATCAAATAAGGCTATAAGAAATGCACTTAAGTATTATGAAAGGAAAGAATAAAAAGTACTTACTTAAACTGCATAACGGTGGTCCAGTGGATTCTCATAGTGTAAGCAGGTTTTGTTTATTGTAATAAAAACAGTCTTGATTGAATCGAAAAATATATAGGAGTATTAAACAATAGAAAAATAACAAAAATTAATATTATTCTTAACGCAAAATGCAGTTAGTTAGCACTATAAAAGATCTCCGATTTCTTTTGTTATAAATTAAATTATTGTTTAATTTCAGCAGCTACATATATGTGGTTCGTGCAGCCAACACAAATATTATCCAGCATAAATTGCTGTTTCGTTACTTAAAATTATAACTGTATTTTCTAAATAATTAAATACCTATAGAAAAAGGAATGGTGTTGACCATAGATTTTTTATATAATGTAACATCTGGCTAAAAAATTAAACTCCATTCTCTTCCAACTGCGAAAATTAGTTCTGTTCTGTTCATTAGAAACTGTCTTGACTTATTATCATAGCAACTTCAAATCAGTATTATCATACGGTATTCTTCTATGGGGTAATTCTTCTAGTGCCATGCGAATATTTAAAATTCAGAAAAAAGCTTTAAGGATAATTTGTAAAATTAGAGAACTTCTTGTAAAAAATTTTTTCAATCTCTAAATATATTAACACTGCCTTGTTTGTTTATCTACTACACTTTAATCTATACTTTTGATAATCAATCCAAATTTTTGTTAAACTCTGACAATCATTGCTACAATACAAGAAATCGCAGTTAATTAACTATTCCATATTGCCGTGTGCAAAAGACACAACAGTCGGTAAATTTCATCTCTGTAAAATTGTTTAATGCTGTACCATATACTGTCAAATGTCTTCCAAGAAATTGCTTTAAAAGTAGAATTAAAACAATGCTGCAATCACATAGTTTTTACTGTATTAGCAAGTTTATAGACTTTTGTGCTAACGGAAATTTAATGTAGTTATTTTTAAGTGTTTGTGAATCTATATATGTATATATGTTTTGTGTACAATTTTATATGTTATACAATTATATACCTAACTTTTTTTTTTGACGAGCTTTAATGTACTTGTTTTACATATGAGCAATAAATTTATTATTATTACTATTATTATTATTATCAACTCTCGTTATCCGCGCGATTTTTTTCAACCCCTGACTCCACCAAGTACTCGACAATTTTCCGGTGGCCGTAAGAGGAAGCTACGCGAAGTGGTGTATAACCATCGACATCAGCGCAATTGACATCCGCTCCTGATAGGTGCAAGTATTGGACAATATTTTTGTGGCCGAACCGACACGCTGCATGAAGCGGTGTTCGACCATCATTCCTGCAACGATTGACCTCAGCTCCGGATTTCACTAGGTATTTGACAGTTTCTTCGTGGCCATTTTGGGAAGCTAAGTAAAGTGGTGAAAAACCCTCGTTATTCGCGCGATTTAGTTCAACACCTGACTCTACCAAGTATTCGACAATTTTCTGGTGGCCTCCACAAGAAGCCACGCGAAGTGGTGTAAAATGATGGACCTCCGCGCGATTGATATCCGCTCCCGATAGGTGCAAGTATTCGACAATATTTCTGTGGCCGTATTGACAAGCTGCGTAAACCGGTGTCCGACCATCATTCGAGCAACGATTAATCTCGGCTCCGAATTTCACTAGGTATTTGGCTGTTTCTTCGTGACCATTTTGAGACGCTACGTAAAGTGGTGTAAAGCCCTCGTTATCCGCGCGATTTATTTCAACCCCTGACTCCACTAAGTACTCGACAATTTTCTGGTGGCCATCAAACGAAGCTAGGCGAAGTAGTGTAAAACCATTGACATCAACGCAATTGATATCCGCCCCCGATAGGTGCAAGTATTCGACAATATTTTTGTGGCCGGATGGACACGCTGCGTAAAGCGGTGTTCGACCATCATTCGTGCAACGATTGACCTCAGCTCCGGATTTCACTAGGTATTTGACAGTTTCTTCGTCACCATTATGGCAAGCTAAGTAAAGTGCAGTATAACCTTCGCCATCTGAACAATTTATTTCGACCCCCGACTCCACCAAGTCTTCGACAATATTTTTGTGGCCATACCGAGATGCTGCGTAAAGCGGTGTCCGACCATTCTTCGCGCTACGATTGATCTCAGCTCCTGATTTCACTAGGTATTTGACAGTTTCTTCGTGACCATTTTGAGAAGCTAGGTAAAGTGGTGTAAAACCCTCGTTATCCGCGCGATTTATTTCAACCCCTGACTCCACCAAGTATTCAACAGTTTTCTGATGGCCGTTACACGAAGCCGAGCGAAGTGGTGTATGACCGTCGACATTAGCGCAACTGATATCCGCGCCCGATAGGTGCAAGTATTGGACAATATTTTTGTGGCCGGATCCACACGCTGCGTTAAGCGGAGTTCGACCATCATTCGTGCAACGATTGACCTCAGCTCCGGATTTTACTAAGTATTTGACAGTTTCTTCGTCACCATTATGGCAAGCTAAGTAAAGTGCAGTACAACCTTCGCCATCTGAGTAATTTATTTCGACCCCCGACTCCACCAAGTACTCGACAATATTTCTGTGGCCGTCTTGACAAGCTGCATAAACCGGTGTCCGACCATCATTCGAGCAACGATTAATCTCAGCTCCGAAATTCACTAGGTATTTAACGATTTCTTCGTGACCATTTTGCGAAGCTGAGTAGAGTGGTGTAAAACCCTCGACATCAGAGCAATTGATATCCGCTCCCGATAGGTGCAAATATTGAACTATATTTTTGTGGCCGGATAGACACGCTCTATAAAGCGGTGTTCGACCAACATTCGTGCAACGATTGACCTCAGCTCCGGATTTCACTAGGTATTTGACAGTTTCTTCGTGACCATTATACGAAGCTAAGTAAAGTGGTGTAAAACCATCGTTATTTGCGCGATTTAGTTCAACCCCTGACTTCACTAAGTATTCGACAGTTTTCTGGTGGCCGCCATAGGAAGCCACACGAAGTGGTGTAAAATCATGGACACCAGAGCGATTGATATCCGCTCCCGATAGGTGCAAGTATTCGACAATATTTCTGTGGCCGTATTGACAAGCTGCGTAAACCGGTGTCCGACTATCATTGGAGCAACGATTAATGTCAGCTCCGAATTTCACTAGGTATTTAACGACTTCTTCGTAACCATTTTGCGAAGCTAAGTAGAGTGGTGTAAAGCCCTCGTTATCCGGGCGATTTATTTCAACCCCTGACTCCACCAAGTATTCGACAATTTTCTGGTGGCCGTTCTGACAAGCTGCGTAAAGCGGTGTCCGACCACTATTTGCACAACGATCGATCTCAGCTCCGAATTTCACTAGGTATTTGACAATTTCTTCGTGACCGTTTTGCGCAGCTAAGTAAAGTGGGGTAAAGCCTTCTTTATCAGAGCGATTAATTTCGGCCCCAGATTTTACTAAATAGTCGACAATTTGTTTGTGCCCCCCACTGGAAGCTAGTACAAGTGGAGTGCAATGATTAGCCTCAGTTATAGAATTAATTTCTGCACGAGAAATACCTAATTTTTCATAACTTAGCAATTTAGCCACGTCATCGTATTCAAGTAATGCGGAATAATACAGAATGTTTATTTTGTCTTTAGAAGAATATGATTGAAAAATGTTTGAGTTTTTTTGAACTGTTAGTAGCAACTTTATCTCCGCTGCCAAACTTTCACTTTTTTTTGCATATAACAATGGGGTTATCCCTAATAGTGAATCATGTTCTGAGTCACTGTTTTTACTTTGTAAATACATTACTGCTTCAAGAAATTCTGTACTTTCCGGTTTACCATTAAAATTGGTTTCCTCGCGAACAGTGTATTTGTTATTTTCGTGGGTTATATGTAAACGCGGGTGCCTTTTTCCCCATGAGCAAATCAAGTGTAACGCACTTCTTCCACCTCTGTCTTTGCATGTTAATATTTCATCGTCGCAACTTCTAAGTAAGTTGAAATTTTTGTGTAACACCGCTACATGAACAGGTGTTTCTTCTGCTAACAACATATCGAAGAAAAATCGTACGTTATTGTACTTCTGATCAAAAAATATGTCAATCGGTATATCTGCAAAATTTTTCGATAAATATGTCGCAACTAAATATTCCGCAAAGGATCCATGAAGAAAGTGTGGGGCGTTATTTTGTACTTCGGTTATGATACCAACAGATGCATAGTCGTAACGAGAAAATTTTTTGACCGATTTTTGGTAATTAATATTTAATCGTTCTAATACAAATTCGGGATATATTAGTTTTAATGCAAGTATTTCGAAGTGTTTTAACATCTTTTCTTTTTCTCGACGAACCATAACTGCCATATGTGGATTTTGAAGATCATAAGCACTTTTATTTTCGTAGAAGATGTTAAATTTTTCTTCGATAAAATTGCGGTATAAGTTAGTTAAACGAAATTTATTGTCTATAAGTTCCACGTACTTTTCGTTATTTCGACGGAATAGTTCCGTGAGCATAAATATCTGAAGAGGAATTCCTAATATGTCAACATGTTCGATAATTACAAAGGTGGATTTAATTTTCTGAACGGTGATCTCAATTTCGGCTTCAGATCTGACAAATTTGAGTCGTTGTTTTATGTAATTTTGTTGTTCTTTATCGCTAAATTGTGTTAAGCCAATTGAGAGGACATTGAATTTTTTCTCTAGAAATGTCTGGAGGTGTTTTCTACTAGTTACCCACTGAACGAAACCTCTTTTTGATAGCTGGAGTATTATATCTGAAACAACATCTAAATATTCGTTTAAAATTTCATCTAGTCCATCCCAAACATACACAATACGGTTTTGTTTTAAACACATTTCGAAAAAACTTTGGTGTAATGTTTTGAGTGAGCAGTATTTTTCGTTGATTATGAATCTTTCAAACCAAGTTAGGTAGTTTGATCCTTGACTTAATTTAAAAGATTTAAAAAATAAATGGACATCTTTGGGATAAATCGTAACCGTCCAATTTTGCGATGGACATTTATTTTTGAAACTTTTCATCAATTCAGATTTACCCATTCCCGGATCGCTAGTTATTAAATTGATGTTATTTTCTAATTGAGAAGACGACAGTAAGTTTTCATGCGTAAAAGAGCTGTTAGATAATTTGTAATTTTCTAAGTCACTCATATCACCTTTGCTTTGAATCCATTGCAAATGTCCGTTGTTTGCGACTTTGAAATAGTGAAACCTGTGCATTTTTGAATTATCCGTATATATCTGTTCTAATTTTGATTCGCAAACTTTACTATTACATATGTACATTTTATTACGAAGATCTGATTTAATGAAACTGTCCTTAAACTCACTTTCGTTGCAAACTACGTTTATACCTTCATCGTTCTCAGACTGTTCATTTGGAGAAACATCAACATTAATTAGTTGATAATTTCTAAGTTTGTCCTCTACTTTATCAAAATTATCCGCATATTGTAAAATGATAACAGTGTTTTCATGTACTTTTTCTAAATAATTAATATCTAAAACATTTTGCGATAAATGACGTTCGATATAAGGTTCAGAGAGTATTTCTTTCTCTCCGTCTATAAAGCATGGTCCGTTTAGCATTCCCATCAAATCTGACGTCGTCACATTTTCCAGAAATTTTTCAGTTTTTCCAAAACCTGCCATTAAGCTAAATTCTTCCTTTCCTTGAATAGAGACAGTAAAAGTTTCCATTACTTTTTGGTAAAACTGTTCCTTCAAGCTCAGGTTTGATAGATTTTGGAATAACGAATAGTGTGTCATCCATTGCTCTTTCATTCCGTCACCAAGCACGACGAACTTTAGATCTTCGCACAATTTGACGGCTTTTTCAAAATTTTTAAACTCACGTATTATTAAAGGACATTTATCCATCAACCACAGCAACTGCGAAAATAACTTTGAGTTTAATTTCTCAACGTCGTTAGCATTAATATCGTCAACTGACAGTTGGTAGTTTATTCTTATTCTGTTTATTTCTGCAATGTCAATATTTTGTTTTGCAACATCACCCCACAAAATTTTAGCATTTTCACTTGAATTCTCTTCAACTAATGTGATAGTGAACATGGATATAGCATCTCGAAGTATTTTCATCTTGTCATTAACGACACCAAAACATAACGGCTCAATATGAGGTGACAAAATCTGCAGCGCGATAGCACGTTTCATCCATCTCTTGTTCAATTTTTCTTTGTATCCTTCTCTCATATTCCATTCCGATATTATTTTGTAGAATTGATCAAAATCCTTATCTTTCAAAGAATACGTTGTTCTAAACTTTTCAATTGTTGATTGTCTCAGTGTGTCAAAACTTTCTTGATTAGTATAAAGAAACAATTTCGAAAAAAACGTTTGATACTCTTGAATTTCGGAGATATGTTCTGTAGTCCATGCATCTTCTACGATTTCAAATTTGTAGATATAATTTACGTTTTTTGAAATTGCGAAGTGGTCAGGTGAACTACACACTCTAACAGGTCGAACATAAAACTTCTGTCCTTGTAGCTGAAACTTTGCGTCTTCTTTAACACCAAATGAACGATTCGTAAAAATTATAAATTCTTGTTCTACATTCTTTAGTTGTTGAAAAGAGTCAAAATATTTGCCTAAACTAAACTCTCCCTTTGCGGATTTCAGATGCTCTGAAGATAACGTTTTTCGATCACTGTGTTTCAACTGCATTGCTTTTACCACGACATTTTGATGCGACTCAATTTTGATGACTACATCATCAAATGCACCGAAGTTGTTGTCGTTTGACGATATGTGGAAGTTGTCTATTTTTTCGTCGCTTACCATTTGTAAAACGATGTTGGCTATAGCAATGTTCTCGTATTCTTTACCTCGGTCGGTTGTTCCCGCTCGTTTTTTAAAAATCTGAAAATGTATACATACAATAAATTCAATAAAATAGGATACTCTAATTATTATTAATAACTATGTATAACACTCACCTCTGAACTATCCATATTTTAGTTGTTGAAAAACTACGGTTGCACGAGAAAATTTTCATTGAAACCGAAGTGACTGCAACAGAGAAACGAAAAATTGAATTTAGTTTATTTGGTTTAGTTTATAAAAAATTACTAAAACGACTAACCACGTCTTGTATGATAAAATAATAGCGTGTCATAATTTAATAATAAATTTAGATTTTCTGTTGGAAGAGATTAAAAATGATTTTTACAAAGCGTTTTTATTCTTCACAAAGTTTGGTCCCTACTACTTAAAATAAATTAATATAAGTAAAATATGGGGTGTATAATTTATTTGACGATTTTAATAACAACAGCTTCTCAAAGAGCTTGATAAATGTTATAAAATACATGACGCCTTGCACTGAAATATCTCTTATACATCCCCCGTTGTTATGCAAGAATATAAAGTGCATTATTTCTAGAGACTGTATGAAATAAAATAACAATTTAAAAAATTGGTAGCTATATTTGATGGACCGCCTCGTCTATATAATTTACGTAATATGTGGAATTTCCGCCTCGTCACAACTCCGGAATGCAGAAGATAGACGGATTGTTCATAAAATCATCTCATACTTACTAGAATTACACACGGCAATAACGTTGACGCCTTTTTAATTTTCTACAGATTTGCCCTTTGGTAAAATTTCAAAATACAAAAAACGTACCAGTTTCCTAATACCACACACTTGAGAGCATGTTGAGAGTACTTGAAAATAAGTACCTCTTCTCACTTCTAGTAACTAATGATCTGTCTGACATAGAGCACAGTAAACTGCTGTCTGACCCACGTCGGACTGGTGACCGCCGAGCGTCTAGTGCGAAAGCGAAATATCGCCACTACCATACACACTTTTTTAAAGCATGAGGGTTGTCTACATTACAAAAAATAGTATTGTTTTAACAACGCTTTTTTTGCACTAAATTTAATTTGAGAACGGGACACTACAACGGTTCAGTCACAGTTGGATAGACACGTTTTCAGAATTTGTTTTGTGGACTATAGCCTGAATTTTAAAATTTGAATGTTGGTCAGTATAACATGATAGGCAACCATGATTTTCAAAAAAATGTCCCCGCAGTTACAGTTGGGGATTTATAATGCGGGGGTGCAGGTAGATTTTTTAAGGTCGGACATGTCTTGAACGCGTCGGCGTCACTTCTGGTGTAAACACGTTGAAAATAAGAGTGGGTTAAATTTAGCTTATAATTTCATAAAGCGGCAGTTGTAAAAATGAATCGCATTCAACGCCACAATCCACGGGCGTAGTGTTAATATAGTTAATTTTTCTGAAAGTTCGACGATGTCCTCAACACGCAAATAGTTTTATTTACGAAATGAAAAACAATGCATATTTATACTGTTTAATTAAAAGAAATAAATTAAATATATTATATACATGTATTTAACTTAACAATAAGCTAGTTTTTGAAATTTTAAAGTAATTGGAGATATTTAGAAAAACAATGCATATTTATACTGTTTAATTAAAAGAAATAAATTAAATATATTATATACATGTATTTAACTTAACAATAAGCTAGTTTTTGAAATTTTAAAGTAATTGGAGATATTTAGATGGTTGCCAGTCCTCGCCTTCAGAATGACTTCCCATCCTTAAATTATGGTCAGCATCTACTTCGTTTTTGATAACAACTTACTCTTGGTTGAAGAATATTCATCACGGTTTTGTCCATGCTGGTGACACTGTAATTTAACATGTTAAAAATATAAGTACCTTTCTCATTGCAAACTACACACTATTTTCACAAACTAAATAGTTTATCAAACGGAACGCATTACAGATTATACAGGGTTACTAAAAAGTATGGAAGCGGTTGAATATCGCGAGAAGGTTCCTTGGATCTTTTTGAAATTTGGTCTGTCTTTAGGTATGTTCAAGTTCTATTTTTTGCAATTTTTTCAGATTTTATTCTTCAATGGTTTGTGAGATGCAAGGATAACTTGATTTTTTTTTAAAGCAGTAGTAGTCAAATCTTCCGTTTTTAAATAGTGCATTTTTTGTCTGAATTCAAAAATGTCAATGCATGCTTTATTTTATTTTTCCGAACACGCTAAAATAAATTGTCAAAACAAAAATACTAAAAATCTGACAATCGTAGCTAGGCTTGACAATACTATCACTTGTCTTTGTCCTGACGTAGAACACTTTATTCAAAAATAATACTAGTACCTAATCATTGCAGGGGCGGCTTGTCCTATGAGGCAGGTGAGGCAGTGCCTCACCAATGAATTTTACGCCTTATTAGGATTTTTATTATTTTTTACCGACACATTTCGGCCAATAATTTGTGTCTTTTTTCTAAAATTTTAAAAATAAATATAGAAAATTATATTCTTATTTTTATCTCGGTAGGTACTCGTTGCTCCCTTAATTAAACATCACGCTTAAACACTCGACACAACATGTATTTTGTGACGCGAATGAGGCAGACTCGAAGCTTGCCTCTACAGCAGATATAGAAATCATGTCTTTAATAGGCAAGCAACCTGCAATACACTCATAAGCGGCATGAGTTGAAAAAAGACAAAATTGAGGCAGCCTCATTTCCGTGCTTGCAAAAGAGATCGACAACAATATTTGCGCGCGGAGAACGTGCGATTACAATGCAGTCTACATTTGCAGAAGTACTCAAAATTAGGCCGTTGATTGTTTTGCCACAAATCTGTGTGTGTATAAATTGATTCAAAATTTCGGTAACGGAATTTTGTCTTAAAAGTGCCTACGTTTGCGTGTGTCGGGTTAGTGCTTTGTGCTTGTCATAATTTGATTTCGGTAATCGTTATTTAAGATTACGAGTAAATCGGAATTTTTCTCTACTAACGTTAAATGACAATGGCAGTTCTGTTTTTTCTACTTTCACGTATGATGATAAATTGTATGTAGTTACGGAATTAAAACGGCCGGTTCCTGATTTGAGTAAATCGTTAATTGATCTATAAAAAAAAATTAAAATAAATCCAGAGTATTTATATTTTATATTTTTTTCGTTTTGTTTTTTGTTATAAATCAAATTAGATTTATTTTATGTTGTATTTGATTTTCTCGAGATTTTTTTTTTTAAAGATTATTTTAATTTTGTTTTTTTGTTAGAAGTTATATTAGTTTTTTCTGACCACGCTTCCCTTTCCTTTTGTCCTGTCATTCTCATCCTTTCCTTGCAAGAGTTCCTTGCACCTTCACGTTGGTTCTTGGTGGACAATTAAATGAGTTTACAAATTTGTTTATTTGACTAAGTAGAAAATATGTAAGTATCTTTATATTTTGGAGCGTTTTGTGCTTTGCCTCATCAATTTTTCAAGTCATGAGCCGCCCCTGAATCATTGTAAAAATGATAGAACTGAGGGTACATAAACTGAACACAAACAATACTTCGATTTAATGACTGTAAATAGTGAATACGTTCTTATGAAAGTTTTTTGAAGAATTTGTGGTCTATTAACATAAACTCGATTGTTTACATAACCCCACAGAAAAAAGTCAAGTGGGGTTAAATCGGATAATCTAGCTGGCCACTCAACTGCTCCCCTTCGTCCTATCCACCTTCCAGGAAAAGTTTCATTGGAGTAATTCCCGATTTGACGTCCGAATGAGGTGGTGCTCCATCTTGTAGGAACCAGCGGGACTCTGCAGGTAAATCTGGGACTGTCGCCATAGCCTACCATCATCAAGATTTCTATTCGTTCAGTTTCTGTTAATGGTGCCATTTTAGTATTTTATTGAAAAATTTTTAAACCTGGATGTAGAAGTTTGATTTTGAGTGCACACTGACATCGATGACAGTATTTTCAAAGCTAACTACAATTTTCTATTTTAGAATTTTTTCATAATAAATAATTTATCATTTTATTTACCGTTTTAGTTAAAAAGGTGTATTATGCATGTGTTACAGTTCTAAATTCAGGAAAAAATTGACGATTGAATTGTGATACTATTTAGAAAAAATTAAGTTATCCTTGAATCTTGAAAACAAATCAAGTTTGAAGTTTAAAAAAAAACAGAACATAGAGCTTGGGTATTTTTTCAAAAAGATCCAACTAACCGCTTCTGAGATATTCAACTGCTTCCATACTTTTTAGCAACCCTGTATATGTACTATCGCACGCAAAAGTATTGTCGGTACCCAGCAGCGAAGGGTATTAAGCTCGTCCGCCTTCTCTCTGCGGGTTGCCATAATTCCCTAAACACTCAGCTACCATAAAATGGACAAGGATTAAAGTTTCCTTATTTGATTACACAAATTGATTACCCAGTACTTTCCTCAGGTAGACACTGTGTTGTAGTAGTTTTTTGATTTTTGGATTTGTTTGCTCGATTTTTAAAATTTTTAATTTTTCGATTTTTTAATTTTGGATTTAACGGTTTTCTGTCGATTTTTCGCCTTTGGCGTTTTTGGTTTGTGGAGGACGCCGGGGCTCGAAAATTTTAGAAAAAAATGTCGAGGACCCGTGGAGTTCTTTATTTGGAAAGAATTTTACAGAATCTTAGGGGCTCCAAGCGTCATTTTTTTAAAGATGTGATGTTTCGTTTTTGAGGGAGAAATCAAAATATTGGCAAACCCGAAAAATTGAAAAATCAGGAATTTCAAAAATCTAAAAAGTCCAAAAATTAAAATATCGAATAGATGAAAATGTTGAAAAATGTAAGATTTAAAAACTCAAAATTTTGAAAAATTGAGTAAGTAAAAGCTCAAAAAAAAACAGAAAGTCGAAATGACGAAATATTGGGAAATCGAAAACTGAAGAACGGAAAAATCGAAAAATCAAAAAACTGAACAATCGAATGAATAAAATATTGAAAAACCTTAAAACTTAAACATTGAAAATTGAGTACTTGAAAAATTGAGAAATCAAGACATCGTAAAGTGAAAAATCGAAAAATTCAAAAATCGGTTAATCGAGAAATTGAGAAATCGAAAAATCCAAAAATTTAAATAAATAAATTCCAAAACTGATAAGTTGGAAAATTGGAAAATCGAAATATTATAGAAATACTGAGAAATCGAGAAATCGAAATCGAAAAATTAAAAATCCCGAAATCGAAACATCAAAAAATCAAGAAGTCGAAAAATCGAAAAATTTTTTTAGAATTTTTTTGATATCACAATATTTTGTTTTTTCATTCCCTTTGGTTTTTTAATTTTTTTCACGTTTTAATATTTCGGTTTCATCAATTTTTTGTGTTTGCAACTTTAATTTTTTCAGTTTTCAATTCCTGCACTTCCGAATTTTTCAATTTTCAATTCCTGCACTTCCGAATTTTGCAATTTTTCTGTACTACAATTTTTATTTTTATTTTTCTCAATTTTTTTTAGTTTTTCGGTTTTTCAAATTGTCATTTGCCCCATTTTTTAACTCTCATTTTCTCGATTTTATATCTCAATTTTTCGTTTTTCTCTTGTTTAATTCTTCAAACTGTCGTTCTTTGATTTTTCGTCTCTGATTTTTGATCTGCAATTTTTCGTTTCGATTGTCCATTTTCTTTATTCTTACAATTTTTCGAGTTTTGTTTTTTCAATTTCGATTGCAATTGCAAAATTTAACCGTGGAAGAAACAAAAAAAAATAAAATTTGAAAAATTTCCAAAACGAAAACTTGGAGAAATGAAAAATTCAAAAAATTAAAATTGAAAAAACAAAAATATAAATTCTAAACACTAAAAAATCGAATATTTGAAAAAATAAAGCAAACAAACGGAAACTAAAAATTGCAAAATGAAAAATTGAAAAATAGAAAAGTTTAAATATGAAAACTCGAAGAGTTC